CTTCCGCTCTCTGTGTGTTGTCAAGATGGCCAGGTGGTCGGCATATCCATACTTTATGGAGATTGTATCAGGGAGGTCATGATTGTACACGTTGAACAGCATTTTTTAGCCTTTTTGAGTTGTGTTGCCCATCGCAATCAAGATAAAGAACAAAAAAACCAAAAAACATGAACAAGTGTGATCAAATAAAAACTGAACAATAACGAGCAACATTTGATACATATAATTTTCTCCCAAAAGTCATTGATTAACCCCCAGAAAATTGAACAGAAAATGAAAGATGATGAAATAATTATAGGCTTCAATTTGATGCATGTCCTGAACACCTCAGACAGCTCAGAGAGTTGTGAGTATTTTAGATATTTTTTGGAAGTGCGCATAATTACCGCTAAGGTCTATGGCAGTCTATTTTGGTCTGGACCCCTAGTATCTATACAAAATATGTCACGTGACTAATTACGAATTCCTCCTTTTTCCGAAACTATAATTTGCTGAATACATTCAGCAAACTTCGGACAATCTCGGATAACGCTGGTATTATAACTTGTATAACATGGGTTATATTTACCCACCTTGCTAAAAATCTAAAAGAGTGAGTTTGTATAATAAATATTATTTACTTGGGTTTAGAAACTTGAAATTCAATGATGATTTTGTGCATCAAGTATACACTCGGATTGTACGAGGGACGAGCTTGCTGCGCCATGTATATTTTGAGGTTTTGCAGAATGGAATAAATTACCACCAGAAATAGGCCTACATCAAGCATCGAGCATTGGAATCTTCAAGTCAAAAATTCTGTCTCTAAACATAGATGACATCATCAGGGGGGCCCACTTCATGTAAATATCTGCTCAGTCACCTTGCACCTGCATTACATCCCTACTGAGGAGACGGTTTTATAAAGCTGCAGTCCATCATTTGCAGCTATCCAAAAAGTGACTGACTGAATTATTGTTGAAAAACATACTTGGTTGAAAGATGGTGAATTATTCTTTCTGCATCATTGCAGTGATGAAGCCAATTGGAAACGAAGCCGTGCTTTGAAAAAGGGCCGTCCATGTTGTCAGTTTTATTTTTAGCCTACGTTTACGCGCGCATGCGCTAAGCTAATAAAAGCAAGTGACGTATGCTGGCACGCAAATAATACGCGCGCGTGATGCTCCGCGTTTTGCGAATTCTTCTTGTACACAACAAGCGCAAGGGCGCCCTATGCATGCGCGCGTTCGATCGTGTAAACAAACAACTCAGGAGCGAGCGCGTCGGCGATGTCGGCTGTACCATTGTAGTCGAAGGGGGGTTCATTAGCGTTGAATATAATATTAAAATACTATTCTTACAGTCTGTAAAATAATACTGTAAAATAATAACGCTTTTGTAACATTCAGTGCAAAACTGGTCCTAGAGCTTGTATTTTAGAGGGTTTCTTCACCAAAATGCTTTTTGTTTTCAATTTTTTTTTATCTGGCACATTGTTATCGCCCTATAGAAAATGGTATCTTTTAGCCGCATCACTCGAATGACATAAACATCCGCCGATTCCAAGTTGTCAACAGAATGCGCATAATGTTCATGTGGATCTTGTGTGTACGTTGGTGAGCTCTCAATTCATGCAATTGATCGAAAAAAGAGACTTGATAATTCGCAGTTTTTTCCGCATCAGTGCTACGAATTGGTGCCTGGAATTTCGTCAACAGTTCTTCATCTGGTGAGTAGGCTTACTCATTGAAACATTTTGAGACTTCCAAATAAAACGTAATTAGGGCCTAGGCCTACATGTAGGCCTATGTCATTTGCTGCTTGTGCTTGTTGATGTACCCTAACGTGGCGCGGCCCCTAACGTTGCGCACTTTGATTTTTTTGCCCGCCTAGCTAGAGCAAAACTTTAACTGACAGTAAATTCATCCCCCAAAAAAGAATAGATGGCGCAGATTAGATGTTTACCCCGAAGAATGTTGCCAAACCTGAAATAGGCCTACAGTCAGCAACATATTTGTTATAGGCCTACTTTTAATATAAAAAGTTATAATAATGCTTGCTATTTAACCTTTAACCTTTAAAAAATGTTGGTGTCATGAAGTTTAATCCGAAATTCAAAAACAGTGGCATCTGGAAATTGTGCACAAAATTGGCTGAGTGTTCCCTAACGTGGCGCACTTGACAGCTTGAATAGCACTGAATAGCCTAAATCTCGGAAAATTCCAAATTAACATTTGTTAATTTCTGTAAAGTTGATGCCTAAACCATTATACTAGGCCTAATCTGTACTTACATACCTAACGAGATGTTTGTCAGAAAGTTATTTTTTTATTTTGGGGACATTTTCTAATTCAAAGGGTTCACTGTGTGTTTCTACTTTGTTACGGGAGATAAAATCGTGATGTATGAACGGGAGTGTTAAAAACGTGATGAAATTTCAGTTAAAACCTTTGCTCTAGCTAGGCGAAAAATCAAAGTGTGCCACATTAGGCCTGATGAATGACAGTCAGACAGTGACAGACACAACTGAGAGCACAAACTAACGTTTAACTGTACGTTAATGTATGCAGCCATTATCCTTGTGTAACATTCCTTTCTTTTTCAGATTTATTCATGTTTAATAAATTCAGCATAACGTAGGCCTAGTAATATTAATTGTAGGTGTTAAGCGCGCAATTTGTTGCGCGGGCTCAGTTTCCATGCTGCCAATTGCACACGCAAATTTAACCTTGCGCAACACGCACAACTCTATCGGGATCGGGAATGGCTGAGCAAATCACGAAGCCAGGCTGCATACGTCATCGGTCATGGCCTAGGCTACTATGGGGAGTTAACTTCGAGTTGTTTCTTGAGTTTTGCGACTCAAAATTAACATTGTAATGTAGGCATGTATCATGTGTATTATAGGCCCAGGATTGTATTTCTTGGTCGCCGAACAGAAACAAAACTTTTCCAAAGCAATAGGTCTAGTTTTTATTCGTGCTCTGGCCAAACATGCAATTTTATAATACACACAAACACACCCCCCAAAAAAAAAAATTATGAAATAATCAGACAAACCAAATATTAACAATACTTCCTCTATTACCACATATATTCAGGAGAGTGCAGGATGCTATTAAAATATTTAAAACGTAGGCCTAGTTATATTTTCTCATGGCAGATTTCTGGAGGAATTGAAGTTGGCCTAATCATGCCAAATTTACGCAAGGTTATCAAATTGCAATAGCCTCTGCGCAAATTGTATTTTGTGTGCACAATGTTTTTGATTGTGCAAAGAAAGTTGCGTGCTTCCTAAGTTTTTGCACAAGCTTAAAGGCAATTAGTGCAATTTAAAATTAGGGACATCAATAAATGTGTGAGGGCGCTGTTCAGCCTGTTCATTGGATGAGCCATTAAATTTAACTCTTTTTTTTAGCACATTCTTAATCTTATCTTACTCTTATCTTACTGTTTGATTTACATTAGACTAGGCCTATCCAAAAGTATCAGAATTTTTGCAATCATGGTTGGGCCCAAAAAAATATAGTTCTGCTTCAGGTTACATGGCATTTGAAAATAGGGGAGGGGGCAATTTTTTGTGTCATATGGAGGCGTCTGCGTGTAGTCAAGGTATGGTTTGGGTGTTTTTTTTTCCTTTCCCAAAGATAATATTAGGGTAGGTAGGGAAATCAGAAGCAGATTTTTTTGGGGGGGGGGCCTTGCTGTCTGCCTTTTATTGGGCATGAAGAAGAGTTGAAGCAAATGTGACTTTTAAGAATTTCAGTATTAATCTAAAAAGGTGTACGAAACCTATGAAGAGAATTCAGAAAAAGACCCCAAAAAGGGGGGAAAACTTTAACCGAAATAGCTAAAAATAAAATACCTTAAGTTAGGCCTAGTATCACTACATCATACGTGCACGCTTCTAAAGGTGCATTTCATGAATTGCAACACAGTACATGTAGGCCTATGTTTTTCACCCTCAAATGGTATGGTGGGTCCATGGATCTGTATATCATTGGACGTGTAAACTTGTACCTTGAAACATTTGAGGGCAACTGTTCCATCATCCATTGATATTAAGACTAATCATGAGATTTTTTTTTACACTAGTGTCGTTTTTAGGCCTTACCGTCATTCCTTTGAAAAGGTTAACTTGAAGATGCCTAGAAGACTGAGAAAGACACTCCGTGCAGTATTCTACCGCAAAAAGTAAGTGGACAGACATTTGACAATGAATTGTTTGTTTAATGTTTGTAAGGTTCAAAGCCTGAGTGGACCTTGTGGATGGATACATTTTTCTCTCATAGAATTATTCAACAATTTCCTCTACTGAAAATAATGCAGTGGACTCTAAAAATATTTACATTGTACAAGTCTCAATTCTAAATCAATCTAAAATAATTGACAGTTTAAACTATTTCACATTTCTTTCTTTGATGTCATTGATAGGGAGAAAAGATGTGCAGCCCCTGGGTCATCAGCAGCACCTGGGTCTACAGCAGCCCCTGGGCCATCAGCAGCCCCTGTGACTTCAACAGCCCCTGGGCCATCAGCAGCCCCTGTGTCTTCAACAGCCCCTGGGCCATCAGCCCCTGGGTCATCAGCAGTCCCTGGGTCTTCAGCCCCTGGGTCATCAGCAGTCCCTGGGTCTTCAGCCCCTGGATCATCAATAGCCTCTGGGCCATCAGCCCCTGGGTCATCAGCAGTCCCTGGGTCTTCAGCCCCTGGATCATCAACAGCCTCTGGGCCATCAGCCCCTGGGTCATCAGCAGTCCCTGGGTCTTCAGCCCCTGGGTCATCAGCAGCCCCTGGGTCTTCAGCATCCCCTGGGCTATCAGCAGCCCCTGGGTCTTCAGCATCCCCTGGGCCATCAGCAGCCCCTGGATCATCAGCAGCCCCTGGGTCATCAGCAGTCCCTGAGTCTTTAGCAGCCCCTGGGTCATCAGCAGTCCCTGAGTCTTTAGCAGCCCCTGGGTCATCAGCAGCCCCTGGGCTACAAGTATCCCCTTCATCACCAGCATCCCTTGGGTCAGCCCCTGGAACACCAGTATCCCGTCCGTCTATGGTAGCCCCTGAGTTACCAGTATCCCCTTCATCACTGGCATCCTGTGGGTCTCCATTAGCAACTCCATCACTGGCAGTCCCATCACAAGCATCCTCTTCATCACCAGAAGCCACTCATGGATTGGCAGCCACTCCATCACAGAAAGCCCTTCCTACTGGTACACTGGCAGCCCATTTGTCACAGACAGCCCCACCGTCACAGGCAAGCCCGCCATCACCAGCAGCCGCTCAGTCACCTCCCGCCCCTCCGTCACCGGCAGCACCTCTGTCGCCAGCAGTGCCTCTCTCATCAGGAGATGCTCCCAAGCCCGTCATGCCGGAGATTGTCTACCATCCTCATCTTGGCTGCAGGATGTATAGCCGCAGAGATATCAAGCCTGCAGTGGTCGGCCGCTTTGGACAATCCCGTGGAATGGTGGGCGAGGGAGCATTTGCTCAGGTGACTGCAGTACGTTTACCTGATAACACTGTAGCTGCAGCCAAGGTTCTGCAGGCACATGATTCGGAGGGACCACTCTGGCAAGAGATAATAGCTGTGGCAGCTGTGGGAGAGCATCCCTCATTCCCCATGCTATATGGTGTGGTGGAGCAGAAGCCCATCCGGACGATGCTGTATGAGTTTGTTGGCGATAAGAACACCTTGTCTGTCACAACGCTACAGGACGCCCTGGACTGGACTGGTACTCCATCTGCGCTCTCCCGTAAGACCTGGCTGCGTATTGTGCGGAATGTGTGTGAGGGCTTGCTTCACATGCATAACGTCGATTATGTCCACTGCGACATCAAAGCAGACAACATCTTGCTGTTTGATGTCAATGATGGGAAAAAGACCAGACGGTATGCCAAGATCATTGATCTTGGCAATGCTTGTCTTGAAGTTGCCGGTCCCTGGCTCCGTATCCCAGAGCATCTGATCAATCAGATGTACCTGGAGTGTCCCCAGATGGCTCCAGAGGTTATGGAGGGGGACTCGCCCTTCAACAAGCCGGCCGAAGTCTACGCGCTGGGCGACCTGCTAATTAAGATCGGAAAGGCAGCTGGGATTCGACGACTGCGATGTGTTGGCAAAAAATGCCAGCACGCCGACTTCAGAAAGCGGCCCACAATGGCAGGAATATGTAAGAAGATGTCTAAACACTGGAAGTAAACATTTGAATGTAGGGTGAGGACTTGGAAACATGATATTGGTAGTTAAAGCAACCTTCCTAGAACAGCTCAGTGTCTGTGCCTCGAGAGTACCTTGCCCTTTCCAGTGTTTGTGCTCATCGTGCAGCTTGCGAGTTTGGTGAAAAACATTAGCTAATTTAATGCTCCAAATGTGGTCACACTACTCAACAAAGTTCAAATGTATCAGTGTCTGTTGCCAATGACCACATCTCGTTTTCACCAAACTGCTCCTAGCGAGTGCATTTCTTACATTAATCCGTCCATAAAAACATCCGGCCCAGTCGTTGTTTCATGAGCCCATCCTTGCCTTTCTAGTTGCAGGTTTATTCGAATAGTTTGCAGTGTCTTCTTGTCTGATACACATCCAGTAGGAAGAAAAAGCTCCATAACAGTTGCCACCGTGAAACAAAATCCCAACAAGTAGCAAAATCCCAACAAGTAGCAAAATCTGGAAAGCAATATACTCCAATAAAAATTCCCTTCCTTTCATAAATTTATCAATGAGCAGTTTTAGAGTTGGCCAGTGAAGTAAATTCAAATTTAAAAACATTTCTGGGACATCAGATAAGAAATCTGTCATATCATCAAGCATGCTTAGCTGAAGATTCATATCCTATGCCATAAAATAGTCCATCCTAAGTGGAAAAATTGAATAAAGCACCCAAATGTGTAATATTTTTTTAATAGGAGAGGAGAAAAGCAACAATGATAACAGGCACAATTTCTTTTAACATTAAAATGCTGCAACTTATATTTAGCAACCCACGTATTTCATTTGTGTTATATCTCATCACTAACTTTGTCGCTGAGGTTTGCAAAAGTAATTTTGGTACATCTGTCACAAAAGAATCCAATGGATGTATAATAAAGAAAAATGTAAGTTAATCATCAGCAATTTCGCAGAAAAAAAGTCCAAAAAGATGCAGTAGTAGCTTGCAACTTAACTCGCATGCAATTATTTTGAAGTGGTACATCACGCTTCCATTTGTTGTTTTTAAGCTCTGGCAGGAGCTTCTACCTGTCAGTCGGTTAGTCTGTCCCTGGAAACTTGACCAAAAACGGGCTCATAAGTTTCCCATAAAACATAACTACCAATTGACCAGAAATTGACCAAATGCAATGCCGTCGTCAGTAAATGCACTCTTGGCGAAAGTTTTTCGGCATTCTGGAACCAGGCCAGAGCTTATTGTGCACTCGCGCTTGTTTAATTAGAATGGATAAAATATGAAAACTCTATTAAAACTGGAAATCAAATGTTTTGAAGCCCTTTTGGCTCTGCAAATTGTGTCAGATATATTTGACTTTTTATAAGTAACAGGTGAGTTTGAAATAAAAAAGAAAAATAAAAGGTACCTGCATGTCTGACCAGTGTTCTTATTTACCAGTGTCCCGTTTCTGTTGACCATTAGTGATTTGGTTTTTTTCTATAATTAAAAGTAAAACTTTGTTGGTTGATTTTTTTTCTCGGTAGCATTCAATCCCTCCTCCCCGTGTTTTTTGTTTGTTTGGGCATTTATTTGTTAGCGTCACTTGTTTATGAACACATAAAAGACACATTTTTATTCCAGATTCTGCGATAAAAACATTTTTGTTTTATTTTGCTGAAATTATACACCTCTAGAAAAGAAGCCACGTAAACAAAAAGAAACCTTCGAAATATAGTTTTCATAATTGTACATCAACATTTACATCCAAATATGAAATTTAAAAGTTTTGATTTACACTAAGTACTAATATGCTGTATCCTAAAAATATATTTTATTGCTCTACATGAAATGTACATACTCTTCTTCAAAATGGATATCATTTCTCAGTAAAAAAATCTATAATGACTGCTTAAATTTCTATATAACAAAAATTCGTCAAGCTTTAAAATTATGAAAGACTAGTTCATAAACTCCCCTTAAACTCATCCAAATATACACAGCAGGAAAATACACGCAATGAAAACAGAGAAGCTGCAAATAACGATTGAAAGCAGTTTACTTAAAACTTATTTTCCAAATTCAAAATGACAAATGTTACAAATTATTGCTGCAAAATAGAAACCAGTTCTATGTGTTGCTAACTCGTAATGTAGCTATGATGTGCATTCTTTAAAGTGCACATTAACTTCCAGTGGTGTAGTACACCTAGCTTTTTCGACAGAAAAAAAAATATTCTCTGTCTAAATGCAACTTTACACAGTTTTATTTTGTCCCTTTTTTAAAAACACAGTGTCGGAAACCATTTGTGCAATCGGTTATGCATACACTGCAAAACTATTCTTTAGAAGAAAAAAAAGAGAGAAAATACACACTATTTCTCTGTGTAGATATATGCTAGAAAATTTAAATTATAACACTCCCTTTATTCTTTAACCTTTTTCTATTGTATAGTGTTCATCTGTAAAAGTCTCTTGAACATTAGCATCCAGGTATCTCATAAGCCAGATAAATTTTTTTAAAGATTTTGAATTTTTCTAGAATACAATATCTTCAGAATACATCATCCCAACAATATCCAAAGTTTTAGAATATACTACGGTAGTTACCCTTTTTTCATTATCGGGTTTTGCCCTTCAATGACGTATTTTCTAAACACTGTATACTCGATGTTGTCTGAAGGCTTGCGTGAAAAAAATTCACAAGCTTACTTGTGTGGGACTCGAACCCATGACCTCCTGCTTAAGGCTGAAGTACGCGGGTGAAGAGCAAAACCCAATATTGAATATACATTTTTCAGACGCAAATTTCCCTTTTTGTTTACTCACACACCAGAAGGTAAAAATGCTCCATAAAAATCAATGAATTTACAATTGAGGCACGTGTATATTAAGCACTCCTTGATAAAAAAAATATTGAATAATGAACAACTCTTGAATAATCTTTAAAAGCTTTCCAAAAAAATATTATTAACACCTTGTCTAATAAACAATTAAAAACACTAACAAAATATAACTTTGATCGATATGACTTGCATAATATTTATTTTTAAAACAAAAATAGCAATGCTATGAACTGCCAGTTAGCCTGGCAATGTATTATAACATTGAATTTCCAGATTCATTTTTCAAGAAATCTGGAACCTGGCATCAATCGTGAATAACACCTCGTGAATAATAACACCTCGATACTTCTTACTACTTTTTGAAATATAAAACAAAAACACCTACCGCAAGGCACTTGAAGTCTACTCAAATTTTACAAATCTGCGTTAGCCGGACAAAGTTGACAACTGTTTTTTGTTGTTCCTGAGGTTTTCATCGTCAAACTGATACATGATTTCATAGGTACCAAGACCTATCACGCCTGGGAGAAAGCATGAAGTGATAAAACCTTAAAACCCAATTATGAGATAAAAATGTGTATTAAACTGCTTTTTGTATACATTTCTACACACATTTTTTTTGTACTAAATCAACCAATAAACACACTTCTTCTTGATGGATTATATTCATATTTTGGGAGGTTGTAGATTTATAGTTTCTGATTCAGAAAATCCCAAAACCTCAAAATAGTTTGTCCCACCCCAAATTGACTTATGTACACTTTGTGCAAAACTTCTGTAACTTTGTTGCGGTTTCGTGGGAGCATGCCTTAAATTAGAAAGTCCTCAATTTTTTATTGCAGTATAAAACTAAGTACAGTTGATGATAATTTGTTATTAGAAACCATGCACAACGAAACAAGAGAATCGTGACATGAAGTGCACGGTGCTTTAAGCCGTGTCTAAATCTCTTGGCTAGGGCTATTGTCCAGGTCTTCAATAATTACAACATGTGCATAAACGTAGCTGTAGCTTAGAACGCTTGGTTATTTAACCCTTTTGCTCTTTTTTCATAAAGTTGCAAAGATCATGAATGTGCACCATGAAAAAATAAAACAAGCTAACAAGCAAGCAAAACTTTAAAAAAAAATTAACATAATGAACAGACGAGTAACTGATAACGGAACACAACTGTTATCTAGTTTCTGATTAATTGAAGGTTTGAAAATTGCATGAGGATGCCAGCAGTAAGTGTAAATATTCAGTGAAACCATGAAACGGTATAAACTTTTCTTTTTTTTTGGTCTGAGAATTTCAGAGCGTGTTCTCACAACAGTGCAAAATCTCACAAAATAGATCTACCCTCATATGATATCACAGAATCTTTACACTTAGTTTGAATTTCTTCATAAACAGTATGTGAAATTGCAATGTATTTCTGTTTTAAAAACCTGCTGAAATTGTGCTCGCATTAATAGGGTTTGGAAGGGAATGTGACTCCCCAACGTAACAGATTTTGAAGTTAAGAACTCCACGTAACAAAGTGCTGCCTTGATTAGGGGTGTAATAATACAGTGTTTTTATTAAATTAATACGTATCAGGACACTAAGCTCAAAACGTATCAGGATACGAAGCTCTTGTGTTGTGATACATATCTTGAACTGAGGACATGGCAATTTTGGCAGTTTTTCAGTATGTTTAATTCCTGATTTGTCCACAGCTGCAAGGAGACGGTCGCACGATGCTTGCGCGTTAATTACTAGCAGAACAGGCATTCGTAACATAGCGTATGCTGTGTCTGTTTTTCAGAAGTTATCGTATTATACGTGTATGGAGCAGGACGTGCATGAATCGTAACAGCGTGCGCTAGGCGTGGTGGTTTACAGACTGCGCATTTCAGGATAATACTATGACTGCCATATAGAATAGACTGATCAAGATTGCTGATTCAAATGTATTTGAAGACAAGTATAATTACACCCCCTTTTGCTGATCAAGATCTTTTTTGATCTATCCTTCTTATTCTGGATCCTTGGCTTGTGGCGGTGGTTGTTGGGGGTTGTTTGGGGAGTAGGCCGGTGGGGGCTCTGGGAAGTGTGCCTGCATGCCCATGGCCGATGGGTCCTCCTTATTGGGTAAGGGTCCCGCCTCGTAGCCTGGTTGGTACAGGGACGGGTCGTAAGGCAGGACGGTCTTCTCCGGGATGCCCACGGCACCGTCAGCACCGACCGCGCCGACTGCACCGATCGCGTTGGCATAGTGGGGGTTCTCGAAGGTAACTGGAGCATGCGGTGCCAGAGAGGTCTATGAAAGAAAAGAGACTCAACATTTAATAATCAAACTATCACAGCAAAGAGCCGATAACATGTGGCATTTCAGATCACTGCAAGGTGATAAAATATACTCTGCTTTTTACAGAGCGGACAGTGCTGTTGCAGAGTGAACACAGTGTACAAGCAGCACAACTAAATCACAAAACTGGTTAACCCCCCTCCCCATCTTCTCCCCACCCCCTCCCCTCCCCCCTCAAAAAAAAAGGTTCCTGCAGAAATCTTAAAAGGAAACTCCGTGACTTTTCCATGACAAAACTAGGGCTTTCCATGACCAATTCTTAGGCTGTTTTGGCATCTTAGGAGCCTATTTACAATAAATAACCTGGCTAGTCATCACACTGAGGCAAGAGACGCCACTCCCTTTCAGCTTTCCAGTTTGACGCAAGATCACAGGGCATCACAACCGTGCATTGAACATACTTGGTGCATCCGTGAAACCCATAGAGCTACATTAAATTACTAGAGCAATAACTTCGTAAGTAATGCCTGCTGGGCGCATCCATGTTTTTGCACAAACCTATGGAGACCTAGAAATTTTGTACGGCTTTTGTACGGCCATTTGCATATATCTGCGTTTGTATTCCATACCGGTGCGTTACCGAAGCCAATGCGCCCAAAACCGAAATGCACGTTCAGCAAATGAGCGTGTCATTTTGCTCTACGCAAACAGCGCAACGTGTGCGCATATTCGCTGCAGATGCTTTTTGCCGTCATGTTTTTTTTAACCGTCATGACGTGCTTAAGCTGTTTGCGTATGTTCTACTTGCGCGTTGCATGTAAAGTACACTTTCAAAATTCAATCCATCTAATTTTATTATGTTCTACAAACATGCACATGAATTCAAAATGTCTGCGCCCAGGACGGCTTCAAAGCGTCTCCGCGCGCAGAATGACGAGTTAGCGCTCTACCGGTAGTAATTTAATATAGCTTTATGGTGAAACCATACAGTGCTGGGATGGCTTGGGGCAGTTTAAGGAGTTACAAGCAGGGCGGTTTTGGGAGGTACAAGAACTAATGCATTAAAAAGCACCATACTCATTGGATAAAGATTTTGGCTTGGACTTTTTGGAATTTTGTTTTTCTGCTCCATTACCTCATAGTGGCTCGCTGGTTCGACATCTCTGCCTGGCGGTGGGGGATTGATGTCAACGTTCTGCCCGTCGCGATAGGTCACAGGTCCATTAAACTTCCTGTTAGCAAAAGAAAGTCAACAAAAATGCTTTGATTTTTTTCCAGTGATATCCCAGATAAGTTCAACATCAACTGCAGCAGTTTAGAATTTCCCGATGTAAAAGTTGCTCTACGCGTTCTCTTTAGCACTTTCAATTGTTTTACTCCTAAGGAATTTTCACTTTGTTTCTTTTCTTTGAACACCCCCCCCCCCCCCCCCCACACACCAAAAAAAAACCCCAAAGGCCCCAAAAACATGTTTTGGTTTCGATTTTGAAAAGTTTTCTTTTTGGGTTGTTTTTGCATTCTTAACACAAAAAAAGACCAGCGTGAATTATTGGTGGGGCTGCACTTAATTCAAAAATAGTTTGAGAAATTAAAAAAATAAAGCGATAACGCCAGTATGATTTTCGTTCTACGGTATGTCTCATTTTAATGATACGTTTTGAAAAAGTTAATGTCTTTCTGACACAATTTAACATTTTGTCCTCAAATTCCAAATTATCGTGTATGCACAGGGTCCATACATGTATCCATTCTGCACTACATATTCAGAGCCTCACCTTCGTTTCTTCAGGAAGACAAGCAGCAGAATGATGATGAGGATGATGGCAATAAGGATGAACCCAGCGAGCCCCGCTGCCAAGCCAACAGCTGTCCGATCAGAAATACGATAGATTCAGTCAGTTGTAAACAAGTGATTGAAATCACAACATGTAAACACATTTCCTTATCGTAATTTTTGCAATATTCTGTCAGCATGCGGAGTAGTGTAACTGTTTAACAGTCTTACAATACAGACAGAATTAGCTGTACACAATACAAAAAAACAGCATGCACTCACGCTACCCCCGACACCCCCCCCCCATTAAAAGCAACTAAAAGGTTTTAAAAAATAATAAACTCGTCTCAAGAAAAGCTAGAGACTTTAATTTGAACTTCCAATCAGTATGCTCCGACTGCCATCAGTGAAATGATGGACATTAGAGAAAACTGACTGAAGCATTGTGCGAATAAAGAGTTTTGGCATGAGAACAGTTACGGTTGGCGTACCGGATAACTCATCGGTTTGTGTGGTCTTGTGACGTCCTGCATAACTCGCTATCTGCTACATAGCAAACGGTCAATTTTACCACTTTTCTTGTCAATTTATTTAACCATGTAACAATGCATGATTTGCTGAACATGTACGTACATGTATGTGCCATTTGTTTGTGTTACAAAGCAAAATTAGCTGCAAAAATGAGGCTTTTATCAGAGACTGCCATATTGGATTTCTACAACCACTGATAACAGTTTCCAATAGCTATTCGTATGCAGTGCTAAATCATATTGACAAAAACGGTTATGGATAGCGAAACGTATGCGTACACATAATACACTTTATCCCAAGCTGTATATCCTCAACATGCAAAAGCCTCAATTGCATTCATAATACATGGAAACTCAAGGGACACATCATTTACGGCTGCAGTATATATATGCCAGTTTGGTAACTTCAACTTCGGATGCGCACATTGATATGGGTCGCGGGTCTTTTGAGATAATTGAACACTCATCAAAGGCGCATGAACGAGTAAAGAAACAGTCACACAACGTCGCATGTTAATTACGAGCAGAATTGGCATTTGCATAACATCGCAGTTACAAGACGTTTGATGTCAGCCATTTTGTTGCCAATGACCTTTGACCTGGACTACTTTATCGAGATACCGAACTGGCTTATTGTGGTAGCGAATGTGCAAAGTAATGCCACATTCCTGCTGACAAGTTTGAGGTGTCCATCAGTTGCAATACAGAATGATTCAAATTGCGTTTTGCCCTTCACCAACACGTTCCATTCTGTTAATTGTTTGGTTTTGTTACCCGCTGCTATATATCAGAATCGAAGCAGCCAGCCGTCCCTGGTTCGAGTCCCACCCAGGCCTCGGACAACACAGTGTACAGTGTACAAAAAAATATGTGAGTGAAGGGCAAAACCCAATATTGAATTCGGGCGTTTCACAACGCAGTGCGCCACCAAGAGTTTGCCACAGAGAGTTCATTTTTCCCGATGCATTGTGGGAAATGGTCGACAAATTCGCAGCGCGGGCCATTGAAATTGTTAGGTTTTTTTTCTAGTCATTAGTTTCGTAAGCATGATTTGAGTATCTGTTTGCCCTTTTCGTTGTCTTTTATCAATACGGAGTTTTTTGTAAGGCGGCTGAATGCTATGCCACAATCTATAAAAAAAAATTAGCTTGTTGTCTAATGACACTCGTTCAAATGGGCCATGTTTTGTCGACCGTAAACTTGAATAATGGACTCTCCACAGCAAACTCTTGGTGGCGCACTGCATTGTGAAACGCCCAAATTCAAATTTCCCTGAGGTGTACTCCATCCTTTAAATAATGCAGAATAATGTAATGAGGCATGCAAAAGTGGGACATTTTTAAAAAGAAACATAACAAATATTCCATGCAATAATTTCGAGTACAAATTTAACGAAATCTGAAGTGATTTTTGGGGACGGAAATCTACATTATTTAAGAAGATTCAAGCTACAAACGAAAGGACGACTTTTTGACATGCAAAGCAATCTATCAAATTGTGGACCTGTCTTAGGCCGCAGCTGATTGGCTGAGAGTTCCAATGTGAGCAGGAAAGAAACAAAGACAATTATCAACATTTTGTGACTTAAAATCGTCATCGATGCAGATTTAAGAGGAAAATACACAGGTTTCTAATTTTATTTTCTAAACCCCCCCCCCCGTAACATTTTTTTTTTAATTCTTAGAAAATTTAATGCCCCAACTTTGGGAGTTTCGACTCAATATAGATCCAAAGTTAAGATTTTGTTTCCATTGGTTTGAATGTTAAAGACTTCTACTAATTCTGAGTTAACACAAGGAGCCAATCTGGAAAATATCTGAGATTTCCAAAAAAACAATGGTAAAATTGAGTGCTAATTTGCATGAGCAGCCAAGTTGATAACAAATTTAGCTAAAAATCAATAACAAGGGCAATAACATGTGCACTTCTCCCATACCACACTGCATGTTAAACACAGTGTAGCACACATTTTTCAACGGCTGCACACCCTATAATATGCGCTCGCTTTATCTCCTCAAGACTGTGCGATGGCTGTACCATAGGTAGTCTGGAAGCCTCTTTTTTAGCACCCCCCCCCCCAAAAAAAATCCAGTATCTTGTGCTGTAAAAGGTCCCTTTTACAAAAGAGGTACCGGTACGTCTATAACGTGACCTCAAAAACTCATCTTTGAAAGGATTGATACTACAAACAAACAAAACTTCAAAATTGAAAGCACTGCATCGTGTGTTATACGCATCAACTGCAGTCCTAATTAATAGTCCAAATAGTGAGTGGGAAATTTAAATTACACAATTCCAAGGGTTAAGATCGCGCAAGACATGATGGGAGCCAACACAGCGCAGCAAGATACTACCTATGGGGAACGAGGCTGTTCACGGTTGTGATTGGTCAAAAACATGGGATTAGGGCTTCATGACTCGGTGTATTGGTCGCTTGCCGCGCGTGCCACGCACACCTGTGAACCATTGCACAGTCTGTATGAGACATAGAGCTATATTAAATTACTAGAGCGCTAACTTCTTGTACAAAGTAATGCCTACTGGGCTTATCCATGTTTATGCACAAACCTATGGAGACCTAGAAATTGTGTACGGCTTTTGTACGGCTATTTGCATATCTGCATTTGTATTCCATACCGGTGCGTCATTGAAGCCGATAGGCCCAAAACCGAAACGCACGATCAGCAAATGAGCGTGTCATTTTACTGTACGCAAACAGCGCAACGCGTGCGCGTATTTGCTGCAGATGCTTTTTGCCGTCACGTTTTTTTAACCGTCAATGACGCGTTTAAGTTGTTTGCGTATGTTCTACTTGCGCGTTACATGTAGAATACACTTTCAAAATTCAATCCATCTAATTTCATCATTTTCTACAAACACGCACATGAATTGAAAATGTCTGCGCCCAGGACGGCTTCAAAGCGTCTCCGCGCGCAGAATGACGAGTTATCGCTCTAGTAATTTAATATAGCTCTATGGTATGAGATTTAATAGAGAAGGAATAAACAAGTAACTTACCTGTACCGGTACTTGCTCCAGGACCACTGTGATTGGGCTCAGCACAATTAGCTCCCGCGAAGTTAGTACCTGTGCAGCTAGAGAGAAGAAAAAAGAGTAAATTTTGAATAAACTGCTAATGAAAAGAAATATGAAGCATAAAGTTCCTTTTCACAGGGTAACAATGTATCTGCCAGAAACACAGTGTCAAATTCTGGCACTGATTTTTATGAATATCGGTAATTTTGACCTCTGCTATGTTACTTAGAACCTTGATTGGAAGATGGGTACTATCTTCATTGCCTTGGGTGCTGCGCGCCCCACGCCCCTATCGTGTTAAAAAGTGCCATATCTCACATCACAGCAGTAATAATTATTGTTAAAGCTACAATCCATCATTTGCAGCTATCCAAAAAGAAAGTAACCGACGTAATAAGTGTTGAAAAACATACTTGGTTGAAAGATAGTAAGGGGACTAAACTTCCTGTGAAATTATTCTTTCTGGCAAGCTGTCATTTCGAAGAAATCAACGAAAGAAAGCCTTTCCAACAGTGCGTCTTAAGACGCATCATTGGAAATTTCCATTAGTAGTTCGTTTTTTTATTCGGCGAAGCGCGCACATGCGTTGACACGATGCACACGCACGGGCGGTTGCTAAAATTTGTCAGATCAGTCCATGACATCGCGTTGTTGCAATCGGCTCAGTGAAAACGTGTCTCGGACGCTGAATTCAGGCCCAATTCAAAAAAGGTTCAGCAAATTTTGATTTGAAATCGAAGTCCTAGATCGTTTTTCTCGAAATATACAGCTGAAGCTGAGCTGAAACTTCATCAGGTTAGTTGTACGTTTATTGCCCTTCTTTAGATTTTGAGAATGTTTGTTGCTTCAAACGAACAAAATGCACAAATAACAAATGATGGACTATACCTTTAAGCAAATTCCAAGTTCTTGCCCAAGTTCATGTGTATCTGTAATCCCCAAATTTCACACAAAATCCTTAATTTTAAGACTTGAGTCAAATGTGACAATTCTACTTCCTCACTAGACTTGATGATAAGTCGTTAGATAGTGGTATTTTGTCCGTGAATTTCAGTCGAACTGCATCGGCGCGGCTGGTATAAGAGTATTACGTAATCGGCCTGGTTGCGACAAATCTAACAATTTGACGATTATGTTCTCGCACCGTTATTCATATATGCAAGCAGCACAATACATACGCAGTGCAGTTTTGCGGTGAGATCCAATCGCCCACTGCTATGCAAATGAGGACTCATTCATTCTGTTACATGGGGAGTTCTTCTCAATACGCTAGGGACATTTTACGTTTTAACGACCAGTACACTCAGCTTGGTCAATTGTGAATAGAAATAAAATGTATCATTGTGATAAACTTTATATATTTGAATCGTGTATGCCCTATAATGAATATTGTAATGTTACACAACATAAAGTACAAACCCTCAAAGTAATGAGAATGATCTTCCATGGCAGCCTAGAATACACTCTGGAATCTGAACCAATCTGAGTGCTCGCATAGAATTCGCTAGCGATTTTTGGAGGGGGGGAGAGGAGCATGTTTTTGGTTTTGGTTTTATGTGAGCTGATACCTGTATTAAGAAGAAAAATACCGGTATACTTGCACAGTCCCCCTGGCATGCTGGCAGTATTTATACAGTCAGTTAGTAAGCACACTTTTCAGCGTACCTTAAACCAAAATCAACAATGACTTCATTTGACCACTAGATGTCCTTTGACCTAAAACATGTCAAGTCATATTAAGTCCCCCTACCCAAAGATTATTGTCACCAAGATTGGTTGAGAGTGAAGTCTGACTTGTCATATGACAGCACTAAACAGTTAATTTAACCAAAATGGAACACACGGACACACAAACAAGTGTGTATTTGCCTGCAATCGGGGACTCCCTATTGTCCCTCTTTTGTTTGTACTTTTTAGGAAGACCTCCCATATGTTTTGTACACATCGCCAAATTGGGGACCTTCGTGAATGGGAGACCCTATTGTCCTCTATTGTTCAACGTCCCCTATTGAATGCAGAAACAAACTCACAGACACACAGAAGGAATACACTATCGCAAGATCCCCCTTGCTCGGCTTAAAAGCCAGGGGATAAAAACAGTTCTTATCATGTTTATGTGTTAAGAAGAAAAAGTTGAGAATTTAACGGCATGCATCTCAGGTTGGCAAATGGTTTCCCCTTTTTTAAATTCTCTGCCCATCAAATTTATGTGCTTGTCAGCTCCATGACAACCCCCCCCCCTTCTTCCCCATCCGCACCCCAATATGCTAAGAGCAGTGCTCTCTTTAAGGTTTTACTTGCTAGCGTTACTTTGACCACATTAAATAAAAACAGTCACTTGTACTTACTCGCACTCTCCACCAACCATGCATTTGCCTCCATTTTGGCACACACACGTAGGGGGCACAGTGGTTTCGGCTGAAAGCATATAAAGAGAAATACATCAATGATACATCAATATGAGTGCAATGGTAAGAATAATTTCATGAGGTGACAGATAATTTCACGAGGTGAAGCCAAGTGAAATGGAACATTCCATCTGTCACAGAATGCAATTTTGTCTTTCCATTGCACGAAAGTGAACTTTCTTTCTTTTCCACAACTCCTGAATCAATCATCGTCATCTGATTGGCAAGAGTGTGACCGTGGAATGGAACTTCTGTTTTTGGGGTGCAGCCGGGCCTAGGGTTGGGACGAATAACTCAATGACACGTGATCAACAGCCAACCAATCAGATGGCGGGGATTTACTCAGGTGTTGTATAAAGAGAAATACATGAACAGTTGATTCACTTTAATTAAGAGATGTGTCTATATGTACAATCTACGACACATTGAATACATACACCCATGGTGTAAAAATGTATAACATAGCGAGAGACACTCATGTACAATTGCTGCTTGTAGCCATCACACTCATAATGTTTGTGTCATGCATGTGTTATGAAATCTTTTAAGTTGACAAGAAAGTCTATGTTATGCATATTTTGTTGAACATGGTCTTTTGGTTCAATGATCATGATCAGTATCAACTTTTGCTATGTAAATGTGTTGCTATGGTTATAAGGTCAACATCAGATCATAGGTGCTAGAAAGTTTGACTAGCCCCCCCCCCCCCCTCCTTCCCTCCCCCGAAGGTCCTCCAATGGTTTGCTTTGTTTGCAGTGTTTTCCAGTGTTGTAGTTAAGACCAGGCAGTCCAAGACCAAGACCAAGACCAAGACCGACAGTCCGAGACCAAGACCAGGCCGACAAAAGCAGTCCGAGACTAAGACCAGGACCAAGACCAAGCCAACAAAAGCAGTCCAAGACCAAGACCAAGACCGAGACCGACAGTCCGAGACCAAGACCAAGACCAAGACCAGGCCGACAAAAGCAGTCCAAGACCAAGACCAAGACTGAGACCGACAGTCTGAGACCAAGACCAAGACCAGGCTGTCAAAAGCAGTCCGAGACCAAGACCAAGACCGACAGTCCGAGACCAAGACCAAGACCGACAGTCCGAGACCAAGACCAAGATCGACAGTCCGAGACCAAGACCAAGATCGACAGTCCGAGACCAAGAGCAAGACCAAGACCAAGACCGGATTTATAAATAAACATGTGAATCATCTTTGTATAATTTACGTATGTTGATGTAAAATTGTAAGGGTTAAGTTAGGGTATGGGGTATGACCGTATAGAGCTATGTTAGTTTGATAGGAATGTGCTTTAGCATAAGTTTTGTTGTTAGTTTTTTTTACAACATTCGCAGTTCGGCATGCAGTGACTTCAGCACTTTTCAGACATTGGTGTACCTGATGTAAAGCTGCAATAAAAGTGACAATTCAAAATAGTATTTTCTTCAAATTGTACTTGCATGTAATTTATTTCTCAGGAACAGCATTAAGTTGTAAATTTAGTATTTTCTTCAAATTGTACTTGTACTTTATTTCTCAGGAACAGCATTAAGTTGTTTACAGAGGTCAGAGGTGCCCCCTGGCCCTCAGTCTCAAGAAAATGACATCACGGCAACAGATGACGCCACACATGTTTGATGAAGGCAGACATTGTCCCTGCCTTATCGCTGATGCTGGTTCTTTTTGGGCAAAAAACACAAACTGCGACATGTTTTTTTTGCCTCCAGTTTTGGCGTCCACATACTCTTTGTGGTCCTTGTACGCATACAGTATGATTGCCAAATTGGCAGACATGACTAAAGTTAACTCTAACTGTGCTTAGAAAAAGAGCAAACTTTCTCGCGACCGAACCAGGCACACATGATTCCCACATAGCATACAACGTACGTACACTATACTACAATGGTGCCTTGCCAGTCAAGTTCCAGATATGGACTACAAAGAACAGGTACCAGTTGCCCAGCAAACCATGCATTCAATACACATCTTTTTACTGACGGTAACCGGTGGCAATAATAATTATGTGGCTACGGCTAGTCACCATTATGCGTACAATAGATCATGCGCAAACGCACAAGGTATCTGCCAAAGCTAGCCGTAGCCAAGTTAAACGTAGTAGTCAGATTATGTACGTCAGTGCAGCCGGTACGACGGTCGCCAGATCAGAACGATGGAACATTAATGGCGGTATTCTGGCGGGATTTGGATTTCGTTAGGCAACAACTGCAAGTGCATTTTTATATTGGTCTTGTGTTGGTTTTGGCCAAAATTCCGAGAACAGTAGGTGCGAGACCAAGACCAGCGGTTTTTTTCGAGACCATGCATGGTCTAGACCAAGAACACGTTCAAACTGGTCTCGAGAGTCTCGACTGTTACACAACACTGGTTTTTTTTCACCCAGTATACACTGTAGTGCCCCAAAAGCTCCCCAGTTGTTCCTCTCTGTACAACCCTATCATGCCCGCGCACTCTATGGTTTTATGGATGCATCAGGAATACGTCTCGTTCAAATGACGTAATTTCCTACAGACCAGCCACGTGCATCGGCATTTGGAGCGTCAACTTGCCTTGTGATGACTTGTGATTGACTTGTGATAACTTGTGATTGACTTGTGATCTATCATAAGGACCTGGACTTCAACAATGGGTACATTGCTAAAAGACAAGTTCATGCTTCACGCAAAAGTGAAAGTGAAGTGAATTTCGTGACGTTAACTAGTGAAGTTTCATCGAGACATTTGCTGTCAACCCTTTAAAAATTACTTTCACACTGAAATAAGTGCGACATTGAACACACTATTTGCATCACAACTATACATACATACAAAATGTGGTGTAGTGCGTGGTGCAGTGCGTCAGACGTGTAAGACAGGCCCCATGAGTTTGTGATAAACTACCCCGGTATTTCATGTCAGACAGAAATCTCCAGTGGTATAAGCCAAGGGGGGAGGGCTGGGGCAGGGGGCATGTGCCCCCAACAAATTCAAGTGGCCCATCCCCCATCCCCAAAATAAACCAAAAATACGAAATCGTAATTGCTGCTTGACCAGGAAGTGTCTTTTTAAAAGTATGTTTTTGATTAATGAAACTGAAGAGGAATATAGATGACAATTTTTGTACTTCCCTTAATCCTTTGGCTTTATGACAATCTAAGAAATGGCAAAAAAAAGACTTTGTTTTCCAAAGACGATAAACAGGATAAACTAGAAAGCACTCAGAGAGCGCAAACCTCCGCCAAAGCTGAACGATTCCCCGCCATATTGTCAGTACACCCAAAAGAAATACTCGCATATCCACTGGACTTCCAGATTGTATTGCACATTCCCCACTCCCCCATAGCATCAAATGGTCAAGTCCATTGACCTGTTGGTCTTAAACACTTTTGCCAGTGTCACTTGAAATTTGGACTCCTTTGAAATCCAGTGCCTTTTATCGTTTTATTGGTTGAACATTTACAAACCTCACGTAGGCATGTGCAATACTCAACCAGTGAGTCAGTATTTCATAGTCCTAAATTCGCAATGCACTTGCCGCAGCTGCATCTGCGCGTCATCGCGCAGTACGCACAACGTGCGCGCCAATCTCCATAAAAGTAAGTGATTATATCTTACTATCTTACTCGCGCGCTGGACACTCCATTATATAGCTAGAGGGGTGTTTCTAAACACAGAAAGTAAATTTGTTATCCAAATAAGTGGAAATGTTTAATTTTTGACTTGTTTTGACTTCTGGACCGAAACGTTTTAATTTTTTGACCAAAAAGGTATTTATGAATGGCAATTAATATGTGCTTGGTTGGTATTAAACAGTATGTTTAATACATGCGAGAAGGGCATTATCCAACAAATGGATGAACTCTAGCCTGATGACGATGATGAAGGGCGCAAAAACTACAGACGAGGGTTGAAAATGTCCAAAAAAGGAAAGTATGGGAATTTTCTTGTACTCCCGTTTTGACTGATGATACATTATGGGCTCCATGCGCCAAGAAAGAGGGCGCCCTTTAACCTAGCAACAACGTCCCATGAGCATGACATTTCGCTGGTTGACACGCATCGTTCCTTGTGTGTGATGCGCGTACACCAGGGGATCTGTATTATGTACATGCAGTGGCTGCGCTTCGCATCAAATTGCAGTCAGGCAAGATGGCGTCGGTCGGTCACCCCCAACTGTACTTTCTTTGCCGGTGAGGGGGTACTTGTGAACGGAGCGGATTGGGCTTTGATGAAAAAAATAAAAAGACTAGTATTTCAGCTATTTCATCACGGACATTGTGTGAAAAAAGGAGAAAGCAGAATAAAAATAGAAGGAAATGCCAACTTGTATAATAGGACATCGAGTTGTGACGGAAATTGCTACAATAATGTGCAAACCTGCCAACAATACATGCCACAAATATGATTAAAAGGCAAAACAAGCGAGAGCAAAATGAGATGATTTCGAAGAATTGTTGCAGCTATGACGACAAGCTCAGCGTGGTACGCTATTCCATTCTGTTGAAGTGAATACGTCTGTAGATGTACTTACCAGAAGTTTGTCTCGTTAAAGACATGCCAGTTGTAGGCCATTCAGTGCTATTCAGAGTTCCTACATAAAGTCCACCGGAAATTAGAAGTAGAACTGTAACACTGCAATGTGCTTTCATACTAAATGCGGAAGGGAAGTTTGCAACGAAGTCTGTTTTGTCAAAAGATACCAGTTCACTGGGCTTTGAATATTAAGAAAGTACAGTGAAAAAAAACAGTACTTCAGCTACTTGAAATGTCGCCAATATCATACAGAAAGGTAAGGAAAAAAAGGATCAAAGCTTTCTACGTTACTTTCAAAGTTTGAGTTGTCAATTTACGCATCTACATTGACTAATATGCGTGGGTACACACAGATATTAGCGTGCCTGAGGTACATTACCTACGCTCCTATAAGGCAAAAATATCAAAAGGACTTTAAGAAGGATTATGGCGGTATGTCCGTTGGGTCCGTAAGGGGATCATACATGAAATTCTGAAATACATTGATCAAGAAAACACATTTTGTGAATGAAATTTCACAATCAATACCGTAGTTAGACCGACTATCTCCTGATTTTCTGCAGACATTTTGAATTAGTGAGTGTGATCGTAAATACCCTGAGACTGTTTACCATTCCAACTGGTCGAGAGCTCGTCATTGGGGTGGTTTTAAACTGCCGTTCAAACTCCGGTCAATCATGCTTGAAACCGGATGCGCCACGCTGCACTCCGTGCCACATGCGCACAGTACGAGCCGCATGTTCTGCTGTTACCGACCGCGAGTGTTCTGCTTGAGAACCACTGGTTATGATCTCCATAACGTTGAGCAAACCACGTGCGCGCACGACTCACATCGTAGAAGTGGCCTGAACATGGATTACAATTGTTGCGCACATCGTCGGAATTTCATCCCCTTCGGCTCAGGCCATTATCGGCGACCAGACCCCAACCAGTTTTAAACTAGACGTTTAAAACTGCTCCCTTAAACTACTATTTCTTTAATGCAACGCAAAAGTCCAATAGGCGCTGCTCTATAAACTTGGTATCATGAGAAGTACTGTATGCCAAGAAAGTTTCAGACATGTATGGGTATGCGTGCATTATTTGCACAGCATGATCTGAAACAGTCAATTATTGACTATACATTTCAGTTTTGGACGTACCCGCTTCAAGTCTGTTTCGATTACAAAGCTGCACACAGTTTTTGAGCTTACCATAGTTTTATGCCTCAACATGAAGGCACCAAGCAGGCTTCATTGCATACAGCGAGTCAACTCTCTAGTAATTTAACATAGCTGTATGGGTTCATCAAGGAGTAAATACAATGTAATACAGTGTAATGTAAGAGCTTATTAGTCTGAATTACCATTGCAGTGATTGGGATCCACAGGCACACCGGATGGGCAGGCGCACTCAAAGCCTTTAGTGATAGCGTTGCCCTTCAGCTGGGGCACTATCAGACACAGATACCGGCATGGGTTCCTCGCACACGGGTTGGGCACTGGAAAAAAATGAACAAAACACACCATCACAACCTCAGTACTTTCTCAAATTATGCTCACTCCAGACTTCACATCAATTTCATAAGTCTTGGCATAGCTGGTACATAGTCTTCTCGTTAAAGGGAAAATACAACATTTGCAAACATCGAAAAATAAAACTACCAAGTTTTTACGAAATACCTTACTAGGATGTTGGTAAATGACAGTCTAAAGCATCCTGTAAAATTATGGCACCTGGGCCCAATTTCACGGCGCTGCTAAGCACACGATTTTATGCTAACAGAGCCGGCGTCTATTTCATGGAGACCGTAAGCATAAGCACAGCAAAAGGCACACTTACTTCAGAAGAAAAAATTGCTTAACTTAGTGACGTAACAATAGAAATCTCCATGCACGCGCGACCGTTAGCACACACACGCCGTGAAATAGTGCTTAAGGTTAGCAAATTTTTCTGCTATGCTAAACACAACTTTTCTGCTAACTGTTAAGCAGCGCCGTGAAATTGGGCCCTGGTGTGAAGTCATTTTCAAGAAAATTACATTTTTGTATACATTTCCAACGGTGGTCGACCGACCACCGTTGGAAAAACCTGACTATTTTTCAACTACTGCTCCAAATTTACCATTTTTTTTTAAGTCAAAATTTTGTTTGCTATTTGTTGCATGTTCATGAATGGGTGCAGGCCAGCTAGACTGGTTCCCTTACCGTATAATTTTCCGGCATCTATAAATTGATCCATTTCATCTTCAGTGGAGTCAGGGAGCCAGACTACTTGAACATTTTTTGTTTTTCTTGGTTTCCAGCATTATCGAACACAAAAACTTCAAACATGCCAGTGTAACAATAATTTGATCTATTATACTAACCCCTCAAATAGTTCATTTCTGAAAATTAATGCAAAAGCCAATGATGTACATTCCCTTTAAACATAACTGCTCGTGTACATTTTCATATTGGTCACAAAACAGGCACTAGATCACCGCAACACGCAACCATTTTGAGAACAATTTTGGTCCGACTTTCTTTTGAATCGGGTGGCAACTCTCAATATGCTGTCCAAGTGAAGTAGCATTCCATTTACCTCAAAAGTAAAGCTTAATAAATTTCAGGTTTCAAAGTTTGGCAATGGCAAGTTCTCCAACAATCACAATCAGCTTTTCAATTTGTACACTGTGACTTGCGCCACTTTAAGGTAATATCTATAAACACCACAGAAAGAAAGTCCACACTCATTGGAGGGGTCATAATTTTGAATCTGATCGTCTTATGATTACATCATTTATATAGACCTTTGGGAATGTTGTTAGCTACATTTTGATTCCCTGTTTGCTATCAACGACTGTAAATCATCCAAGTAAATCGTCAGCCTTTGTGAAGTAGCTAAACGTTTAAACGCTTTGACAGCGCTTAATTGTATCGTTAAACGTTTATGAAATTGAACCCAAAGCATCTATAAGCAGACCTACCATCCAGGGGGTAGCGTTGCTCTTGGTAGACCCTAATGGCCGTGGGTCGTTGGATCCCAGACAGAAAGTCGGTTATGTCCCCGCCGGTCTTGTTCATGGTCTTGATCATGCCCAGTTCGCTGGTGCTGCTAGTAGTCCAGTAGACGAGGTTACCAAAGACGTCTAGCTGGAAAGGATTACCGAGACCTGTGGTAACAGAAGAACAACAGACAAATATAATCAGTTTGATTGTTATAGGCCTCGTTCAATGATGGCCATCTCTGTAGAACTGCAACTGCGCAGTTGCTGTTCCAAACACGCGCGCTTGTTGCTCGAAATGTGTTCCAAATACGACGCAGCCGATGGGCGTTAGAAAAGTTGACGCTCAAAATGCCAATGCACGCGGCAGGTCTGTAGGAAATGAGGTCATTTGAACATGACCTATTTGATCATTTCAAGGTACAGTATATCGTGTAGCTATCCACAAAGTAACTGACAAAATTATTGTTGAAAAGCATACTTGGTATAGAGATAGTAATGGCACTAAACTCCCTGTGAAATTGTTTCTTCTGGCATGCTTGTCATTTTGAAGAAAACAAACAAAGAAGGTCATTTCAAAGATGCATCTAAAGAAGCATTTTTGGAAATTTCCGAATGGGTGCGCGCAAACATTGACACGACGCACACCCACTTGCTATAATTTGCCTGTTCAGTGTGTGACATCATGCAGCTAGCTGCAATCGGCTGAATGAGAACGTGTCCTGGATGCAGACTCCAGGTGCAATTCAAAACATGACTTGACAACTTTCGAATTGAAACAGAGATCCTAGAATATTGTTTTCTGGGAATATACAGCATTCAGTGAGCTAAAACTTCATCGGGTTGGTTGTTAAGCACCTGTTTTTGAGCACTTTTGTTGCTTCAAATGAAAAAAAAAATGAAAAATGACAAACGATCTACAATACCTTTAAAGGTCTCGTTCTCTGTGTATCTTAGCAGTATGGAATAATACAGGGTGAGTAAAAAAACACGAAACCCAAATGTCGGGACTATTATTTAAGTGAAGTTCTTCATGTAGCACTTTGAAAATCTAGGACATGAAAGCCTAATTCATAAGCTTTCTTTTTATACAGAATCATTTAAATCACTTATGTACTTTGCAAGTTACGTAATTTTAAACACACCAACGGTTTTAAAGTTCTGTCCACGGATCACAGAAAAGGTGTGCGTTCTTTCAGCAAAACGAAAACAATTCACACACATCCCTATGTGATTTGTTTGAAATAGAGATCCTAGAATATTGTTTTCTCGGAATATACAGAATATTATTTCGTTTTGCTGAAAGAACATTGAAATTTGTTGTGATTCATGGACAGAACCTTAAAACGGTGGTTGTGTTTAAAATTCCGTAACTTGAAAAGTGATTTGAATGTTTTTTTGTACTATAAAAAAGTTTATGAATTGGGCTTTCATATCCTAGATTTTGAAAGTGCTACATGAAGAACTTCACTAAAACAATAGTCCCGACATTTGGGTTTCGGTTTTTTTACTCTCCCTGTATAAAACCATATAAAACCATCCCCCTTCATAAAAAACAATTCACAAATACCTCAGACAGTTTAGCTATTCCTATTGGTCGAGAGCCCGTCACGTGGCCGGTCTTAAACGGATGATAAAGACATGGCTAGCTGGTCTTAAACACTTTTCCAGTGTCACAATAAAATGTGGACTCCTAAAAATCCAGTGCCTCTTACCGTTTCATTGGTTGAACGTTCACAATCCTCCCGTAGGCATGCGCAACACTACCAGCGAGTCAGAATTTTATAGTTCTAAATTCAAAACGCAACGCCCCAGGTGCGTTCTGCGCGACATCGCGCAGAACATTCTACGCGCGCGTCAATCTCCATAAAAGGGTTGTTTACATCTTACTCGCCAGCTGAACACTCCATTATTTTGCTAGAGGGATGTTTCAAAAAGCATGAAGTGAATTTTTGAACAAAACTGGGATTTTTTTGAACGAATTATTTGATATTTTTGACCGAAAAGGTATTTATGTATGGGAATAAATATGTGCTCGATCGGTATTTATCACTCTGTTTAAGACCGCTTAGAGTCTGGGTGCTGATAATTACCCTCGCCTCCGGCTCGGGTAATTATCAGCACCCAGACTCTAAGTGGTCTTAAACAGAGTGATAAAAACCTCTCGATCACACATTTATTCCCTTATTAAACTTCTGAAGTAAACTTACCGCCACTGGCCTGGAGAATGGCAAAGTATGACCCATCATACGTGATGTAGCCTATTTTATCTGAGCGAGCATCACACCAGTAGACGGTATCGTTGCCAGTGTAATCCACGGAAAGCCCAGTGGGTTGGTCTAGTTTCCCGGCTGCTTCATGGACTGGGCTATAGTTCTCGCCATTCATCCAGGACATGAATAGACGGGTGCCTCTCTCTGGTACGCCGAGATCGGTCCAATACATCAAGCTACAGAGAAAGCATAGAGAAGAGGGGGGGGGGGAGATTACTTGGGATAGAAGATGCGTGGTTAATCTCAGGCATGCAACTGGGAATTTAGAAAAAAGGTAGGGGATTTGGGAGTGGGGATAGGAGATTTGGAGGTGGGGGTGGGGATGGGAGATTTGGGCTGGGAATGGGGGATTTGGGGTACGGTAGGGGATTTGGGAGTGGGGATAGGAGATTTGGAGGTGGGGGTGGGAGATTTGGGGGTGGGGATGGGTGATTTGGGCTGGGAATGCGGGATTTGGGGGTAGGGTAGGGGATTTGGAGTGGGGATAGGAGATTTGGAGGTGGGGGTGGGAGATTCGGGGGTGGGGATGGGAGATTTGGACTGGGAATGGGGGATTTGGGGTACGGTAGGGTAGGGGATTTGGAGTGGGGATAGGAGATTTGGAGGTGGGGTGGGAGATTTGGAGGTGGGGATGGGTGATTTGGGCTGGGAATGCGGGATTTGGGGGTAGGGTAGGGTAGGGTAGGGGATTTGGGACTGGGGATAGGAGATTTGGAGGTGGGGGTGGGAGATTCGGGGGTGGGGATGGGAGATTTGGACTGGGAATGGGGGATTTGGGGTACGGTAGGGTAAGGGATTTGGGAGTGGGGATAGGAGATTTGGAGGTGGGGGTGGGGATGGGTGATTTGGGCTGGGAATGCGGGATTTGGGGGTAGGGTAGGGGATTTGGAGTGGGGATAGGAGATTTGGAGGTGGGGGTGGGAGATTCGGGGGTGGGGATGGGAGATTTGGACTGGGAATGGGGGATTTGGGGTACGGTAGGGTAGGGGATTTGGGAGTGGGGATAGGAGATTTGGAGGTGGGGGTGGGGATGGGAGATTTGGGCTGGGAATGGGGGATTTGGGGTACGGTAGGGGATTTGGGAGTGGGGATACGAGATTTGGAGGTGGGGGTGGGAGTTTTGGGGGTGGGGATGGGTGATTTGGGCTTGGAATGGGGGATTTGGGATACAGTAGGGGATTTGGGAGTGGGGATAGGAGATTTGGAGGTGGGGGTGGGAGATTTGGGGGTGGGAGATTTGGGGGTGGGGATGGGTGATTTGGGCTGGGAATGCGGGATTTGGGGGTAGGGTAGGGTAGGGTAGGGGATTTGGGAGTGGGGATAGGAGATTTGGAGGTGGGGGTGGGAGATTTGGGGGTGGGGATGGGAGATTTGGGCTGGGAATGGGGGATTTGGGGGTAGGGTAGGGGATTTGGAGTGGGGATAGGAGATTTGGAGGTGGGGGTGGGGATGGGAGATTTGGGCTGGGAATGGGGAATTTTGGGGTAGGGTAGGGTAGGGTAGGGGATTTGGGAGTGGGGATAGGAGATTTGGAGGTGGGGGTGGGAGATTTGGGGGTGGGGATGGGTGATTTGGGCTGGGAATGCGGGATTTGGGGGTAGGGTAGGGGATTTGGAGTGGGGATAGGAGATTTGGAGGTGGGGGTGGGAGATTTGGAGGTGGGGATGGGTGATTTGGGCTGGGAATGCGGGATTTGGGGGTAGGGTAGGGTAGGGTAGGGGATTTGGGAGTGGGGATAGGAGATTTGGAGGTGGGGGTGGGAGATTCGGGGGTGGGGATGGGAGATTTGGACTGGGAATGGGGGATTTGGGGTACGGTAGGGTAAGGGATTTGGGAGTGGGGATAGGAGATTTGGAGGTGGGGGTGGGGATGGGTGATTTGGGCTGGGAATGCGGGATTTGGGGGTAGGGTAGGGGATTTGGAGTGGGGATAGGAGATTTGGAGGTGGGGGTGGGAGATTCGGGGTTGGGGATGGGAGATTTGGACTGGGAATGGGGGATTTGGGGTACGGTAGGGTAGGGGATTTGGGAGTGGGGATAGGAGATTTGGAGGTGGGGGTGGGGATGGGAGATTTGGGCTGGGAATGGGGGATTTGGGGTACGGTAGGGGATTTGGGAGTGGGGATACGAGATTTGGAGGTGGGGGTGGGAGTTTTGGGGGTGGGGATGGGTGATTTGGGCTGGGAATGGGGGATTTGGGGTACGGTAGGGGATTTGGGAGTGGGGATAGGAGATTTGGAGGTGGGGGTGGGAGATTTGGGGGTGGGAGATTTGGGGGTGGGGATGGGTGATTTGGGCTGGGAATGCGGGATTTGGGGGTAGGGTAGGGTAGGGTAGGGGATTTGGGAGTGGGGATAGGAGATTTGGAGGTGGGGGTGGGAGATTTGGGGGTGGGGATGGGAGATTTGGGCTGGGAATGGGGGATTTGGGGTACGGTAGGGTAGGGGATTTGGGAGTGGGGATAGGAGATTTGGAGGTGGGGGTGGGGATGGGAGATTTGGGCTGGGAATGGGGAATTTTGGGGTAGGGTAGGGTAGGGTAGGGGATTTGGGAGTGGGGATAGGAGATTCGGAGGTGGGGGTGGGAGATTTGGGGGTGGGGATGGGAGATTTGGGCTGGGAATGGGGGATTTGGGGTACGGTAGGGGATTTGGGAGTGGGGATAGGAGATTTGGAGGTGGGGGTGGGAGATTTGGGGGTGGGGATGGGTGATTTGGGCTGGGAATGCGGGATTTGGGGGTAGGGTAGGGTAGGGTAGGGGATTTGGGAGTGGGGATAGGAGATTTGGAGGTGGGGGTGGGAGATTCGGGGGTGGGGATGGGAGATTTGGACTGGGAATGGGGGATTTGGGGTACGGTAGGGTAGGGGATTTGGGAGTGGGGATAGGAGATTTGGAGGTGGGGGTGGGGATGGGAGATTTGGGCTGGGAATGGGGGATTTGGGGTACGGTAGGGGATTTGGGAGTGGGGATAGGAGATTTGGAGGTTGGGGTGGGAGATTTGGGGGTGGGGATGGGTGATTTGGGCTGGGAATGCGGGATTTGGGGGTAGGGTAGGGTATAGGGTAGGGGATTTGGGAGTGGGGATAGGAGATTTGGAGGTGGGGGTGGGAGATTCGGGGGTGGGGATGGGAGATTTGGACTGGGAATGGGGGATTTGGGGTACGGTAGGGTAGGGGATTTGTGAGTGGGATAGGAGATTTGGAGGTGAAGGTGGGAGATTTGGGCTGGGAATGGGGGATTTGGGGTAGGGTAGGGTAGGGGATTTTGGAGTGGGGATAGGAGATTTGGAGGTGGGGGTGGGAGATTTGGGGGTGGGTATGGGAGATTTTAGGGTGGGGATGGGGCATTTCGGGTGGGAATGGGGGATTTGGGAGTGGGGATGTCGGATTTGGGGTTGTTTTTTGGGGGGGGGGATTGGTGGTGGGGTGGGGGGGGGTGGGGATAGGGGATTTGTAAGTGGGGATGGGGGATGAGAATGTGGATTTGGGGGTGGGGATGGACCTGGGATTTGGGGAATTTGGGGTGTGGATTGTGGGGGGAAATGGGTGATAGGAGGAGCCGGAGTTTGGGGAAGGGGGATTGGGGCGGGGGGGGGGGGGGGATGGGGGGGCAGGGGGAGTCCTCCATCTGTCTCACTCATGACAATTATTAATCCACCCCAAATTGTTATCCCCATAATTGTTAGGGTGTTACAAGAACAAACACTCCAACCTACCCTCTGCGTGGGTTGACAGCGATGGCCGATGGCTTGGTAGCCGTGTGAAGCGTCTTCTCATGGTATGGGTGGGATCGGAGGGCTGCTACCACCACCTTAGGCCTTCTGTCTGCTGCTGCACGTCTCTCACGAGCATCAGGGGGTAGGCCTTGATCCGTGAAGTAGATATTACTGCAAGCAGAACAAGAAAGGGATTGAGGCATGCACAAAAAGTTATCTAACTTTCCTTTTCAGACTGGTAGTTCCAAGAGTCAAAAAGAACCAACAAGTATTTATGTCAACCCAAATCTAAGTTTCGGGCAGGCAACCTTTATGAATTAGTTTTCCATCCGCTAGACTCAGCTAGGGTGCTCACAGGGTTAGTGTAGAATTGCTGCATTAACGCTGTTTAAGCACAAAATGGTGGCACCATGCAGACTCCGTGCACAAGTACCCCCTCAACTGTTACAACGGGAGAGTTGGGAGAGACCACTGGGCGAGACAATCGAACGTCATCCCCGACGGTGCCTGATGCTCGTGCGAAGACTCCACTAGTTTGTGCATATTTTGAATAAAATTGGTCATGCGTACTTCGCGCCATATGTAAGCACACACGGTGTGACCCTTCCACTGGGGTTAATGAAGGTGATCAGAAAGTGCCATCTGTGGTTTGTGCCTTATGATCAGAGGAGTCAGGGGTTCGATTCCAGCTACTGGACATGTGTTGTGTCCTTGGGCAAGGCACTTCACCCCCACTTGCCTCTCTCCACCCAGGAGTATAAATGGGTACAGGCATTAGCTGGGGAGTAACCTGCGATGGACTAGCATCCCATCCAGGGGGGAAAGAAATATTCTCAGTCGTTTCATGCTACTGAAACTGGAGATAAACGCCGGCCTGATGGGCCTAATGATATTGGCTTGTGACAGATTTCACTTTACATTACTGTTAGTCTATGGGCTCCGTGCGCCAACAAAAGAGGGCGCGTTTTTACCTCTTTTGAGAGCTCCGTGGACGGGACACACAGCATGCGCATACTGTACTGTGCTGGTTCGTCCACAAAGTACGCACGACTTCCTGAATGTGCAAAAGCTATAGTCACCTCGTCTTCGCGTGAGCGTCAGGCGTCCTCGGCGTGCAAATTAATACGTTCAAATTCAAATTGCCATGGTCGCCAAGACTAATCCCTGCCTCCAATAACTTATTGGATACATTTGAAATACGCAGTGGATGGATGAAAACTAATCTAGGTCACCCCCAACTCTCCTTTTCTGGCCGTTGATGGGGTACTTGTGCACGGATCCCATAGAGTCCACGGACCATACCTTAAGAGTTCCCCCACCGTACTTACTTTCCCAGCCAGTCCACAGCGATACCCACGGGAGCGTACACATTGTCAAGACCCAGGTTATCCGGCGCTTCCATGGCGTTATCGTTGCCGACCGCGACTTTCTTGACAGCACGCAGCTGTGAGTCAGTGAAGTACACAGAGCCTGTATGCATGTACAGAGCGACAGACAAATGGGTCAAGAAACAAAAAGAAGAAATAGTATTAGACTTCATACATATTTATGAGCTCAATGCACTTCTTTGATTGGTTGATGCTCAAACGCATCAGAGAAGTAAAAGTGGCTATCTTGCATGTGCTATCCTCCACTATCGCCCAACTGGTTGGAAGTACGAGGGAAGTAGTATATCTTTAAAGTTCCTAGACTCCCAATTACAAAACAGTAGCGATGGGTGGGGTTGTTGCTAGCACCTTATTAAAACCTTTACGACAGACAAATTATTGTGTGACGGAATGAGCCATTGGTGTAGTACCTGGGTGGCAAATGTGAATTTGTTGATTAGTAAAAGGGCAAAGTGTGCCATCAAGCGCCCGCGCAATTGTGGCAGTTGATTGAGCGCTGATATCGGCTGCTGCGTGGTCTCATGGCCTGATGAACGGGGTAATAATTGGAAAGCGCTTTGAAATTGTTGATACGATGGAAAGCGCTATACAAGCACTACGATTATTATTATTATCATTATTGAAGCGGACATATGTGTTCCATCAAAGCGGGGAAGTGCTTCAGAAGAAACTTATCAGGGGTTAAAGAACTTATTGAGGTAGAATTGCTGAGTTATTGCTATAACATTTGATTTTTTGTTAAATGTCCAATTTCCACACCACTCTGCTTAAACCATGTTGCATAAAACCATGGCACAACAAAACAGACAAGGCAAGCTAGTAAAGCTGGTCCCAGAGTGCACAACACTCTATATTCAATTCGGGTGATTCACAATGCAGTGCGCCACCAAGAGTTTGCCATGGAGAGTCAACTTTTCAAGTTTACGGTCTTCAAAACATGGCTCATTTGAATGAGTGTCAGTAGACAATGTGAGCTAATTTGTTATAGATTTGGGCATCGCGTCCTGCCGCCTTACCAAAAATCACCATGGTGATACAAAGAAAAGAAAATGGCAAACATATACTCGAATCATATGCATACAAAAACTACTGACCGGAAAAAAACGAACATTTTCAAATGTCCCGCGGTGCGAATTTGTCGACAATCTCCCACAATGCACTGGGAAAAATTAACTCTCTATGAACTATTGGTGGCGCTCTGCATTGTGAATCACCCGAATTGATTCAGAATGGAAGTCTTTTCATGCATGTGGCTTACGCAATGGGCTGGATATAGCCCATTCATTGGCGGTATGGGATTATCCAAACTTTTGGGCTAAGGTAAGACGTTAACAGGCCTAATTCACAAAATGTTCGTCGTACAAACAGCGCCGGGATTAAATTGAAAAGGCCAACCTGAGCTGAAATCAAAGTCCACGGAGTCGATACGCGCTTCGTTCACTACGATGTCCTGATACCTGTTCTGCTCCAAGACATACTTGCGTAACTCTGAACCATCTCCAAACAAAATCACCTCAACGTCACCTGCAAATATGGCAAACAGAAGCCGTGTTCGCATTTAGATTTTTAGTGTAAAACTTACTGATGCAATGGTTACTTTCCCAGTTTTAAAGGGTTCCTGATATTACTTTTTCTTAGGAACACATTTTGTGCAATTTCTCTTCCTCGTAAATGTATGACTATTATTCGACCACCTTTTTTGGTTAGTCTTATTGAAAAGTGCACTTCCTTAAACATTTAAAATTGTTTTCCGGACAACTGAGGAGGCTGTTGCTGTGATGGCATTTCAGGAAGACACTGTTCAGTTTAGGTGTTTTCTGTTCAAATTCTGAGACCAAAAACGTGCTCATGAAAACAGTTGTAAGGAAAGTTTGCCCATTGGCTGACTGTCATGTTACGATGAATCACCAAAGAAAAGAAAATTCATGACGGCAAAATATCCAAAATTTCTGGCAACTTTTGGTGCTGAAATAGCTGTTACATGAAGTTTCTTCCTGAAATTACATCAAGCTTTTGTTCATGAATATGGAAATTCACATTGCATAAAAACCAAAAACGCACCAAAATGCCCTTGTAAATGGCAAAAACAAAAATTGAAAATAAAGTTAAATGGGACACAAAGGTGCATTTTCAAGGCTTGCATTAAAACAAGTTATATTGCATGGGCCCTTTGAGGCCAGTGTTGAAAGGCCTTTCCCAAGTTACTTTTCCATCACGTGTACCTCAAATCTGTATGTTCGGGATGGAATGTCTATGCGGAAAAAAGTCAAACGTTAACAATATTGCTATTTACCATTGGCTTTGCAGTCGTTGCCATGGACACCTCTGTCTGTGAAACCAACAGCGCAGGAACACTCGTAACCCCCCTTGGTGTTGCGGCAGACTTGGTCACAGGGATTGTGGAGGTAGCACTCGTTGATATCTTCCGGACGAATCAAAATGGGGAAAAACTTTAAAGTTTAAAAAGACTATTCTTGTTTTAAAATGTCTAAACAAAATTACTCCTTTGTACATGACAAATCGTTTCACACCACTTACACAGATTCTTGAAACATGACAATCAACTAACATGTCATTGGAAGTTCCTTTAGCCAAAAAGGAATGCTATGCCAAAAGTTTTGCTGTGAGTGGTGCGAATATATGGGATAATTTGCATGAACAACTTAGAACTATAGATTCCTTATATACATTTAAATCAGAACTACGAAAGCCATAAGTGAGTGATATCTACTTCAAAATGTGCTGATCTGTAGAGTTATATACTTGGTTGCCATGGTATTTATTTGGAGCCGGATCGGGGATTTCCCCATTTTTTTCTCCCAAAAGGGCTTTTGTGGGGTTTTCGCTCATCCCGTGATCAGTAATTCATGCCGTATAATTGAATGTTTAAAATAAGTACAATGTATACAGTTTTTGTTTAATATTTCTGAGATACATGTACTTGTATTTGTAAATATTAATGTTCGTCATATATGTTTCACCAATGTACTTTTCCTTAGAGTTTAACTTTACTTAACATTATTTAATAATTTGTTATGCATACTGCGCCCCAATGGAACCAGTTTTAACTGTTTGGGCATACCCTGGAAAAAGAAATGGAATAAATAAATAAAGCCCGCCTCAGGTCGACCTATACAACTTGCTTGCGCCGCAACAGAAACGTCGGCTTCAAGCACAACAGTCATGCTCAGATCGAAAAACTGAGAAATCATGTGATTATTGTGGAACATGCGACAGTTGCGCCCATGCTCAATTCATCCAAACATAACGATGATTCACAATAAAATTAGATGATCCAGGTGCATCCATGAGTCGATGTCGAAACTTCACATAGGTCAACTGCGATTGATTCAGCCTGTTGGGAACACGTTCCATCGCGGCACAGAAGTTGACATTTTTCTACTTTTCTGACTGTCGATTTTTTAGCCCCGACTGATGCCGATCATCTTAATGGTAATCATCTAAATTAACCTCAGTTCGCAAAAGAAATTGGCTACTGAAATGTTCCAGACGATGGTAGCTCAAGCACAGCTTGATCCTGAAAAGTTAGTCACCGACTGTTCTCTGTGGTGAAAAGATCAACCCGAGGCCGGCTTAAAGTCTTACAAAAAGTGATCTGATAGGCGTACTAGTTTTCTGTTCTAAGAAAATAAAACACAATTTGCTAACTTTCAAACCTTACATATAGTATTTTGTATACAAAATTTTTTTTGGGGGGGGGGGGTTACATGAAATAGCACAGGGAGACCAACTGTAAGATTTATGCGTCCACTTTTTAAACAAAATTCACAATTTAAAAAAAGCAAGCACCCACCTTCGCAACCACTGGCCGTTTCCACAAAGCCTGGGCCACAGCTGCAGACGATAGCAGTATTAGACAGGGTGATACACTCCTTCTGACATGTGCTCATCTCACAGTCCACCGGGGTTTTGTCTGTCAAAGACAATCAAAAGTAGGCAACTGTAACCATTAGAACTTGTGCTACATTGTGCTACATTGTATGTCACTGAAGAATCTATATATGGGCTCCGCGCACAAGAACCCCCTCAATGGTAAGAAAGGGAAAGTTTGGGAAGACCACTGGGAGGGACCTTCAAACGCTTTGTCGACGATGCCTGATGCTCATGCGAAGACACTATGGCTTTGTGCACTTGGTGATATACATGCACAAACCAGTACGTACATGTACATGGCTCCTTATGGGGTAGAAAACAAATTTCTCCACATAAAATCCCATAATTGACATATTTGATTTTGCATGATTTAAATCAGACAAAACTGGAAAGTGGTGCAGTCTGTCGGTATTACGGTAGCACCACAGCCTGTAACCATGGAATGCTTGTTTGTGAATCATTACTTTATAAGCAGGCTTGGTAAAGACCGGCTTGGTAAAGACCGGCTTTGTAAAGACCGACTTAGTGCAAAGGGCTAAGTTTGGTGTCTTAACCAAGACCGTCGAAGAGTAACAGCTGGCTAAACTCTGACTGATCAGGTCACATAGCTAAGACTGTGGCATTGCAATACACCCCTATGGTCCAATTTCTGCCTTGCCCAGCAGATTTATGGTCCTAAGCCAAAATCAGCCAGGGACCAGTCATGGGATAGCCCAGGTGGACTCCTTTACCGCACTGCATACAGATGGAGTCCAGGATATGAAGTTCTCACAACAGGGCGAAAAAAAATGACAGTATTTTTACCTTGTCGAAGGATACATAACGATTGACAACATAATCCGGAAAACAAATTCAAAAAATAACGTTACGTTGTATCATTGTTGTAGACTGTGCTTTCCTCGTTAGCAGAGTTTGTACACCCAGTGCATTCGTGCTGCGTGCCCGCAATACGCACGCGTGATTTGAAAACTCTCACGTGCTGTATGTGCCAACCAGTTTGAGGTGTCTGGCAGAAGTAAACAAGTGAAATTCAGTCAAACTTTCAATTCTTGCGCTCAAATTACATGTACAAGGCAACTTTTATCTCACAGATGTTAAAAGTGTGCTCGATGTGAGAACAAAAATTGCAATGAGAGTTGAGTCGCGCCTGTGGAAAAAAAAAGTTTCTCAAAAACACAAGATTCCTGTGCTTAACAGCGCCGTGAAACTGGCCGGAGGAAATTTGTATCTAATTCTATAACAGCGCTTACAGCATGCTGTCTCATCTGAGTTGTCGCTGCAGTCCTGCTGCATGTTGCACACTCTGTCCCACATGATGCACTCGCCGTTCTGACACTTGAAGGTATTTGCCGTGCAGACCGTCGCACCTGTACAAAAAAAAATTGAGGAAAACGAAAGGAAAAAGGATATCCATAAAAAAGTTGTAATAACAACAACAAAAATTTGCGTAGAGATACAGGTTTTAAATCAACACTGGATCTTTTGTAAAAACACGACTAGGCAGGCCTAGTTATGCTGGTACTAGAGCGCACACATTTCTATTCCACTGATTCAGAATGTCTAAAAAGATTGTAAGATATTAGCTGTAGTGGTAACATGATGAAAATGGAAAATCCACTATCACAGTTTGCATAGAGACTTGTTTTATAATTGTTTTCAGTAATGACCGTTTGCGTAGTCAATGTAGTCAGTATGTGAAAAATTATGTCCTAAGTTTTATACCGCCAGCTACGAGCTCTTGCAGGCTCAATTGCATCATGTAACAGTACGCCTTTGTTATGCTAATTAGCTACAGTCGCTGAGTCTGGTGCGTATCGCAGGTGGATTACTTGTACCTTACCTGTGCTCAGTAATAGTGACAGGCAAAACCCCTCACAACAGAACATCACTATAACAAACGCAATAGGGTCACAAAGGATTGTTTGGTATAGTGGTCATTATTTTATGAGTATGATTTTTCCAGTGATGTCTGAGAGCTGGTGAGAAAAATTCAAAGGGTTGCTTGGGTGGGACTCGAACCCACGACCTCCTGCTGAACAAGCTTGTTAAAAATCGGTCACACACCACAACTTTGTTCTGCACGTTCCTCCATTATAAGTTAAAACAAAAAAAAAACTAGACAGGTGTTTGTCATGACACATGATGATGTCATCATGATGTAATTACTCAGTAATAAGAAAATGGTCGATGCATGTGCCAAGTTTGAAGTAAATGGGCGTGATATAAATGGGATTGATATAAATGTGTTTGAATCATATAGCTATATTAAATTACTAGAGCGCTAACTTCGTGTACAAATTAATGCCTGCTGGGCGCATCCATGTTTGTGCACAAATCTATGGCGACCTTGAAATTTTGTACGGCTTTTGTACGGCTATTTGCATATCTGCGTTTGTATTCCACACCGGTGCGTTATCGAAGTCGATACGCCCAAAACCGAAACGCACTATCAGCAAAGGAGCAAGTCATTTTGCTCTACGCAAACAGTGCATCACAACGCGTGCGCGTATTCGCTGCAGATGCTTTTTGCCGTCACGTTTTTTTTTAACCGTCAATAATGCGCTGAAGTTGTTTGGGTATGTTCTATATACTTGCGCGTTGCATGTAGAGTACACTTTCAAAATTCAATCCATCTAATTTTATTATGTTCCACAAACATGCACATGAATTCAAAATGTCTGCACCCAGGATGGCTTCAAAGAATGACGAGTTAGCACTCTAGTAATTTAATATAGCTCTATGGTTTGAATCCTATGGAGAAAGTGGATAGAGAACAAAATTGAGAAAATGACCAAAAAAATAATATCTTTACAAAAAACTAGGGCTGTTTCAGTTCAATGGCCCCATAAACAAGGAAATTCACTCACAATCTCGCTCATCCTCATTGTCAAAGCAGTCTTGAATGCCATCACAGCGTTTGTGTTCAGGCAAACACTTGAGAAGGTTATCAACGATACACATGATGGCGTTGGGTTCACAAACGACAGTGCCTGTTCAGGAGAGAACCAAAAAAACACCACTGTAAACATTTTTGGTAGGAAGGCGGAGGGTTGTTGTATTAATTGTTGAGGAAGGGTTATATTATAGAGGTTTCAAAATCTTGGCTTTGATTCAGCTTTGGCTACATTTCGTCACCGTTTTCACGAACTAACACTCATGCACTAGTGGGTGTTACTTTGTGAAAACCGCGTAATCAACGACTTCAGTTTCATGAACTAACACCCGAGTTGTGCGAGCGCACATTGGACACTGACGCAAAATAGAATGATCGTGGTTTTACCACATGGTGTTACCGCAAAACCGAAACGATACCGATACCCCACCATGCAAAGCCTCAAATCTTACATCTTGGTTTTCATGAACTAACACTCAAGCATATTACGGAAATACAATTCAGAGAAAATGCGTCGAAAGTTTGACATGAATTCAATCCATCCATATACTTGTGGGCCTACACAAAAATTTAATTAAAAACCTTTTTACTGGTGAAATTAGGATCAGTGTTAGTTCTTGGAAACTGAATTGTACGGAGTGCGCGCATGCAGTGCTGCACTGTGCCGGGTGTTAGTTCGTGACAATGAATATAACACGGTTCTGTAAATAACGCGACTGGTGCAACTGAGTGTCAGTTCGAGGTGTTGGTGACGATTTGCAAGTCTTCTTATGTCCTATAATCAAATAAAAAGTACTTGGATTTGTATACAGTAGTTGATGTTCTGAAGCGGAAAAAAATGACATATTTTGAGCAATATCCCTCAAGGCCTAAAGATCTCTTGGAGATGAAGCCACCTAAAAAGCCGTGTTTTGGAAACTCCCCACGACCTGTGTTCATAAGTGTTGCAAGAAAACAAATTCTTAGAATTTTTACTTTTTAGACTAATACGAACGACAAAGAAACGGGCTAAAAGGAAAATAGGCAAGCTGGTTCAACAAGCAAGCAACACGTTAAGGAATGCGCACAAAAACGTCAAGGTATCAAAGACTGCAATGATTTTGCCATTTCTACAAATTCAATCATATACAAAGAACCATAAATCATCCTTTTAAAAGGCATAGATACCGCTAATGTAGTCATAAAATCAAACCCAAAATGATGGGACCAAAAAAAAAGCAAAGGAGGGGATATTTTTCCATAACCAGTCATCAGCACTGTACACAGGATTCCTACCCTGGGCAAAGATGGCATGAAGCAAAAAAAAAAAAAACAAAGCCGATAAATTGTTGTCGCCCTTTTAGCATCTCCATATATAATACTTTGGGGTATAAAAAAAAATAGAAAAGCCATTTGCCCAAAGTACAAATTAAAAAGTTAAGAATCTTTGAATTCTCTCCTGTTTATTTGTCTGCAAGATTCATTTTTATGTTAAGGAAATGCATGCAACGACTCACTTGTAACAGTTTCAGCTGAGGTGGGTTTGACTTTGTGAGAAATTCATTGAGAAACACTGAATGTGAGTTCATCAGGAACAACATAGTAAGCATGCTGCAAACAGTTGTTATATGTGTACACTGATTTTTGCTAAGTAAATGTAGATTTATACTCAGCACGAAAGCAAAAGTGAGCATGGGCTTGCCAAAACAAGAACTGACAAACAATTCCAGCATTATGGAAGGAAGTGTATTTGCCTGTGACAATTAACCATGTTATCTCATTAATGATTCAGAGAAACGATCCAAAACCCCTAGTCTGTAATCTCCTTGGCCATTACTAGATGATGGATGTATAAGATTTGAAAAATACAATTTCAGGTTAATATTTACGGAGCTCTTATTAGTTCTGTCATGGTACATAACGCTGGAATTGCCCTTACGAGCAATGTCGGATGAGGACCATTTATTAGTCAACTAGTTGTTTTTGACGTTTTTTTCACTTTGGCACTAATAGCAACGTGCGAACGCCTCTAGTTAAATGATCGTCAAAATGTCATCAATAAATGTCTCGATCCTGGTTTACCGCTGTGCTTTATGATGCGCGTGGCTATTGGTAACCGGTTACTGAACCCTGCCGCGGGCTTTGAATCCAAATAGTTGACTAGAGCAGTCAAACCATCCCAAGGGAGATCAAGAACGCCATTTTTTGGGAGGGGCCCAAAACAAATTTCGTCCCCAAAAAGGGCCCCAAATTTTCTCTATGTTGTAATCACTGGGGTAACAAAAATTGCAAGATGGTTTTCAGCACTTTTTATACAAAGCTTCACTACCACAAAACAAGAATAATATGCAGGAGGGAAAAATCAATTCTTTTATGAGCGAAATAATTTTAACATTTTGAATTTGACAAAATAGAAAAACAAAAATTAATGCACGATCAGTGACAAATTATTCATGCTACTCTGAAAGCACTTGACAATATCATGTTCAAAACATTTCTAAATAAATAAAAAGAAAAGTGCCGTGATAATAACAAATTTCACACAAAGTCACTGAAAAAGGTTTTCAATGCTCCTGAACGGTTGTAATTTATACTCACCACTGTTACCTTGTTGGATTGAATCACACAAACAAAAAACACAATAATTACTATTTACAGTTAGTTTATAATAAAACAAAACATATGGTACTTTTTTTATTTAAAAAAAGGGGTTTTATACATTGTACATAACAATGTATAAATACTCTATAAATTTGGGGTCCACTTTTTTTCCTGTCCCAGTTACATTTGACATTATAATTCTTATGCACCCTTTAATGCATTCATTGTCCAAAAGTGATTATGAATAGCAAACTACCTCCCCAACAAAGACAAAATTGTTGAAGTCATTCTTAATGATGCTTGAATGGCAAATTACAAAGTTCCAAGGTAACAGGGACAGGAAAAATGCCACACTTTGTCACCCTAAATTTATAGACTAATAATAATAATAACAAAGCAGTTTTAAGGCGCACAGTATCTGAAAATAGTAGTCATTTAAAGGCGTTGGTCAGTGAAAAGTCAGTGTGTGTGAAGGTAGAGGTCATTATGCGTGAGAGAGAAACTGATTGAAGAGGTGGGTCTTTAGGTGGCGTGTGAAGAGAGATAATTGGTGTATTGCCCTTAACCCCTATTTCATAGACAGCTGAAAACAGCCTCATTATGAAGCTCACCTGAACTCAAAAAAAGGTATTTGGTCAGCATTTGCCTGAATCTCACAGGTTTTAAGGAGGCCTCAGGTCGACCAGCAATTTGCGTGAGCCGCGACGGAACCGTTGGCATCAAGCGGGAAAGTAACGCTCAGGTCACAAAAGTGAGAAATTGTGTGATTCTCATGGAACAAGCAGCATCTCAACATAAAATAATTGAAACCGTACTCATGTCAACCACAAGAGGACTCTGGGCTCAGACGTGATCATGTGACGTCTTAAAAATGGCAGTGCGCGCGTTCATAACAATCAAACATCTCATTGACCACATCATTTCATTTGACTATTTTTGCCACACGCTAATTGGCTACACAATGAAATAAGATAATCCAGACGCAGGCACAACGTTGTAACTTCGCACAGGTCAACTGGGACTGATTCCCCCTGTCGGGAACACGTTACATCGTGGCGCAGAAATTGAAATTTTTCTAATCTAGCGACTGTTAATTTTTTCAACGCCAACTGATACCAACGTCTTAATATCGTCGCAGTTATGCTCAGGCTGCAAAAAAATCAGCAACTTATATTTTACAAACGATCGTAGCTCAGGCGCAGCATGATCCTGGAAATGCCATCGCCAGTTGTTCTGTGACTTCGAAAGGTCGACCTGAGGGCAGCCTTACAATCCTTAGATGTACCCTCCCTTCGGCAATCCTAGAAGGCGGGGACTACATGGCACGATTCAAAAGACACAGGCCAAGCAGGCTAAAGAAATAAAACTGTTATGGTGCAAAGCAAGCAATAAAATCACAGAAAGCCGGACACGGCTCAACTTACGACAGGCGTCGACCGATTCATCGCTGTTATCTCCACAGTCGTCGTACGTGTCGCATACTTGACCGAGAGGCACACAAAACGTGTTGCCGCATCGGAACTGGTCCGCAGAGCAAACTGAAATAATTCCCAAACAAAAAAAAGGAGAAAATTTCATTACAATTTAGACAAATAATGGAAATTTAAAAAACCGAGTCAAATGGTGCTTGGATGAGCTATTGGTGCTCTGGGCCTTTCTGGTGCCCAAAATATGAATATTGATAATAATAATAATGTGCTACATGGATGATGGGTCGGCTGCCCAGATTTCGGTACCCGACATTTTTTGATTAAAAACCTGGCTGAGGCGTGCACACACAAATTTTCTGTGTTGTTCGTGATTTTTTAATTTGTCTGCTTATAATTAGTTTCTTTGCGATTAGGGCAGCAGGAGGGGAAAATGGAATTTGAAGTAGGGCTGTGTGACTAGTCGACTAGTTGTCACTGGAAAAACAAGGAAATGCGGAGAATCCGGAGAAAAACCCTTGTGGCACGTAATCAACAAACAACTCTACTCACATATGGTCCAAGTCGGGAATCAAACCAAGGCCACAGTGGTAAGAGGCGAGCGCTTTACACACTAGACACACATACCACTCTTAAATGTGCTACTGTCATTAATGTCTACATTTCTTACCGCAGTTGATTTCATCTGAGCGATCTCCGCAGTCAACATAGCCATTACAGGTTAGATTGCGAGCGATACAGCCTCCGATGGTGCACTCGAATTGATCGGGCCCGCATACCAGTGGATCGCCTATCAGAAGAATCAAAAGAGACATTCACACGAGATTCACTTTTTGTTTGAAATGGCACCTTGGCTGCAAACGTAGCAGCTGTTTTCACACACAAAATTGTAACTTACGCCATTCGTGAGATTTTCGCAACAAGTTTTTTGTGCGACTGCAGAACAATAATCATAGCCTTTACGCCCGCTGTTTATGAAATAATTTAATGTCGGTCACCGAATCACCTTCACTCGCCATTTTGAAAACAGTTTTGTCCAACTTATTTGGAATTGTAAAATAGCATTCACTGACTTCAAAAACACAAAGCTTTGAATTTCTTGTATCAACCTTGATAAGTTTGTCAATAAAGGCCACAGTATGATAACGGTTTGTCAGTAAAATAGTCCCTTGTTAGTCTGTGTGCCATAATTTACACAAACTAAAATAGACAGCAAATGTTACGCCATAATTTGTTACATAAGTCGCAGACTGTACAGTCGTACAACTGTGACAGTTTTGTGAAATGTGTCAGAACTAAAGTTGCACAAGGACACTTGTGCAACTTATGCAATGAAATCGGGATACGTGGAGTTATGCCACTTCATAAACTTTCATGAAAAGAAAAAGTCATTAAAGTTGATTTTCAAAAGATGTGATGTCCGTAAAGTTGGACTTCTGATGCCCTAAACGGCCTCTAATTATATTTATAGACCAGTATCGTGATACAGATTGACAAAATGTAGACCAGTTCATACTTTGACGTTAGGACACATTTGCTGTGAAATTCACCAGAGTTATAATGTGAAGTTTTATAAATTTGCAGCGCGAATACTTGCCATGACGTTACAAATTCGTGTTGGCCTCGGCTTTCATGCTCAGTATGAACCAGCCTTATTGGCTCATTTGCATTTATCCAAAAAGTAACTTACCAAATTTTTAACAAGAAAACTTACTTGGATTATTAAAAGATTGTACTGGTACTAAACACTCTGTGAAATTATTCCATCTGGCTTGCTGGCATTTAAAAGAAATCAAGAAATGTAGGTGATTTCCAACGATCAGTCAATTGACTGAGTTCTGGAAATAGAGAGAGCTATTGACAAAATTGTGTTTCGCGATCAAAAGGTTGTGCATGGTTTTTCGCTGTTTTCTCGAAAAGTGTTATACCCACTGATCTGAAACTGAAACAGGTTAGATTGTGAACATTCTTCTATGGATTTTGAGTGGTGTTTTTAGTGGAAATAAACAAAATGCATGAACATAATGAAAAGCAGCGCGCATCTGCTCAACCGGAAATGTCCTCACAAGCTTTAACGTGTCTATAACTGTCTTGGAAAGGCAGAAAAACCACTGATCATTTTTTTTATTGAAAATGAGGGGTATGAGGCAATTGTCTATGGAGCGGAACAGAAAATGACCATTTGTGACAGACCTTTGGTTGTTTATCTCAACGTATCTCAAGAACCCAATGTAAGAGCACACTGGAGGTAGCGGTTTTGTAAAGAGGATGAAGTCCTCTTTCCATTCATATAAGACTCTATTTCATTGGTTAAGAAACCACTGATCATTTTTTCGTCAAAGTTTTCCCCCAATGACTGGATTTCTTGCAGAGGTCAGTTGTGCGAGTGCACGTGGCCAGCGTGTTGCATGTGCTATGCAAATCGCATGGTCAATTGGGCAAGCTGTGGCACTGTCTCACACACATTGATCTTTTGCGCGTTTGGGTCCCAAACTTTTCATTATGAGCAAGTGATCCTATATGCCTTCAAGACTTACATCCATCTTCGTCGGAGCCATCACTGCAGTCTGGGTTACCGTCGCAGCGCCATCGATTCCTGATGCACAGACCTCTATCGACACATCGGAACTCGCTCTCGCTGCAGGCACGAGGCTCTGTTAGTTCAATCACAGGAGAGAGGTACATTTCACAGGGATTAAAATTTTTGTTTTGGGACAAACTACGGGGATAAACAGGAAGTGGACTTGAGTCGGGCGTGGCGTTACTTTCCTGGCCTTCCACCTATCCGTCCCATGGTCGAATCCCACTGAGGCCAACATGTGAATTTGGGTTTTGTAGTTTACCCTGAACAGGCATGCAAATGGGAAGCAACACGAAAAAGAGGGCATTCCAAGCTTTACATGACTTATAAGGTGTTTTTCCCTTCACTTTTTTAATCTGTAAGTGTGAAGAGAAAAATGACGAAAATCAGTTGATCCGAGGAAAAGTTGCATGGCCGCTTGAAATGTCATTCAGGGTCAAGGCCAGATCAAGAACACATTTTTTTGGAAGGCGTGGGGGGGGGCCAAAAAAAATTTGTTTCACAAAAAAGTGAGTCCAAACATATCCGCAAATTTGTGGGTGGTGTACGCAATGGCTATTTTTTTGCGACGTTACTATAAAAAGAAATTAAAAAAAATAATTGGGTTTCGGATGGGGGGGGGGGGTATGGCCCCTGTTGGCCTGGATCACTGTTCTTCGGGTATCCTCCTCACACCTTTAAAACATTTTTTTGTTCCATTCCCAGTCAAATGCAGCCGGCTGATTTTTTTTATTCAAAAATAACAAATGCAAAATACAAGAGACCGTGGATTTCGAATGGTATTTTACACTCACCGCAGCCTCGCGGTTCATCGGAAAAGTCCCCGCAGTCATCGTCCAAATCGCAGTACCAGCGCTGGGGGATACAACGGTCATTGTTGCAGCGAAACTCGCCCAGGGGGTCACAGGTTACTGCCTCTGCCAAGTAAAGGTCAAAGCTCAAGGGTCAAAGTTTGAAAGATCAAAGTTATAACTGAGGTGTTTGAATTAATAAAGGTATGCAAACCGTTTTCCCACAGTAAACTTATATGCAAGATTTGACCTCAGTGAGGTCATAGATTTGACCTCAGTGAGGTCATAGATTTGACCTCAGTGAGGTCATAGATTTGACCTCAGTAAGGTCATGTTGTGCATCTCTCTATAGGACTGATGACATCATACGCATAACACATATTGCCTATGGCTTTGGATTATACATGTGACTATTGAAGTGGCTGATGCCACTTTCCATGGCCACATATGCTACTGCTAGCCATATAGCCAACTACTTCCAATGTGGCCCCAAAGATGAGTTTAATAGTATACAAATATTGAGTGGCTCAGCGTGGAATGGGAGGATTATTATCGCAAGGTAAAATCCGGACTTTCCATTTCACGAGGCGATGCTGAGTGAACTGGAAAAGTCCAGATTTTGCAGAGCGATAATACTCCTCCCATTTCACAATTTAAAGCCACTCAATATTTGTTTTATATAACCGACATACAGATCCTTGTCATTAATATCTGAACTTTTATTTTAATACAAAATTGGTAGAAAATGTATTTCTCTCTTCCAAACCACCCCTTCATGAAATGTTTGAACCCAAATCTATCGCGCTGACTCTTTGGAACAATACACGCTATGCGCAAGGCTGAACGCGCACACCAGCATGCATTTGCGCGCAGATACCGCGTCATGGAACAAGGATATGATCCTAACTGTTGAATGCTAAATCCCATTCCCCATGCATGGGCGAATGGCGGGACTTCTGAGCCCTGGCGTGAATGGGAGCAATAATGAATGTCACGTGATGTGAGTTTCACCAATCAAATGACAAGGATCTGTATGTCAGTTATATAATACACAATAATTGACTGCTTCGAGTGGTGTAATAAAACTAGCCTCCTGAGGTGATCCAATGAGCATTCTATTTTTCCCTCGGCAAAGCCGTGGGAAAATAGAATGCTCCATGGATCACCAAGGGAGGCTAGTATTACTACACCACGAGTCAAAGCAGTCAATATTTGTTTTATAACACCTCTCCCACAGATTCTGCTTGATTTTAAGCAATAATTGACTAAGTTAATCAAAATACAATTAAAATGTATTTTCTATTCGAATACGACATTAGTTGAAAATTTACCAGCACTTTTCCAAACTACCCCTTCACGAAATGTTTGAACCCAGCTCTGTAGCGCATGGGAAGAATACTCGCAACGCGCACAGACCTTTAGTTGCTAAGTTGGTTCCTATGCGTATAGTACTTTTTCAAACGGAGGCAAGTGTTGTATAGCAATATATTTGTTTCATATCTGATATCAAATAATCTCACCACAACCAACTTCGTCGGAGTTATCGCGGCACTCATCGTACGTGTTACAGCGAGCATATTCTGGAATACACCTGTAGTTGGTCTGGCACCTGATCCAACCATGTGGGCAGGGGGTATCCTCTGAATGCATGAAAGGGAGGATATTACGTAGGTAAAAGTATACTTTAGAACCCTTTTCCCGAGACAACAATACACTTTTATGTTACTGGCTCACACAAAATAGCCGGCAATGTTGAAAAGAAACAGGAATGTTGTGGAAAGAGGGCCCGGTTTCGAATTCGGAGGGAAATTGTGGGGTGAAATGACACAAAAACACAACATGAAATTGAAGAATATGATAGTGTCGGCAAGGGCGAATCCGGTCCAGAGAGGTTACTGCCTGGGGGCGGAGAGTGTGCCGGGGGCCGGGGGGGGGGGGGATAGGGGCTCACTCAACTGAAAAATGGCCTTTTATTGGTCACTACCAATGGGGCAGGCGCCCCCTCCGCACCGCACGCTACATACACGTAATGACCGACAAAAGGGCATTGATTCACGCTGCTGAATTTGAAACAAACGGTTTAAGAAATACATTTTGCGAATCTTGAGAATTTGGAAAAGTAAGATTGTTTGAGGTTTCAGAAGTCATTCGTGGGCAATAGAAACTGTTTCAGAACTGTTTTAGAGGCAGGGTGGGACGGAGTGGGGTGGGGAGGGATTGATTGGTTATGAGGTGGTGTGTTGATGGGATGGGGTGGGGTGGGGTGGGGTGGGATGGGGTGAGGTGGGCTGGGGTGGGCTGGGGTGGGTGGGATGGGGTGGGGTGGGGTAGGGTGGGATGGGGGGGGGTGGGGTGGGGTGGGGTGGGATGGGGTGAGGTGGGCTGGGGTGGGCTGGGGTGGGGTGGGATGGGGTGGGATGGGATGGGATGGGGTGGATGGGATGGGATGGGGTGGGTGGTGTGGGGTGGGATTGGGTGGGATGTGGTGGGATGGGGTGGGATGGGATGGGATGGGACAGGATGTGGTGGGTGGGGTGGGTGGGGTGGGGTAGTCGCAGGGATGGAAAGGAGTGGGGTTGGGAAAGGATGGTCTGGATAAGAGAAAATGAGGTGGGGTTGGACAGGCGAAGGCTGGTGTAAGGATTGAGTGGGGCAGAGGCAGCTAGGGCTGGGATTAAGGGTGGGGTGGGGCAGAGATAAGTAGGCAAGGGATGGCAGGAGGACAGCGCAGGGAAGGGGTAGTGGGTGGAAGCTTTCAAGTGAGGTGTGGACAGGTGGAATGGGACAGGGGCACAGGTGGAGTTGTTGGGCGGGGCAGTGTAGGAATGACTGGGGGCAGAGTCAGTCTTGAGCAGGGGGGGGGGGTGACTTACGGCATTCCCGGTGAGGCTCATCAGATCCGTCGCCACAATCGTCGTCCAGATCACATTTCCACTCCTCAGGAATGCAGTAGCCATTGTCACAGGTGAAAAACCCCTCTACGCAATCATGAGTCACTATACAGGAGGCAAAATGGACACCAAATACCATTAGGCAGTGGACGCATTAGAGAGAAAGATAAAATCTGTAGTATCACACTTGGAGGAATTGAAGTGGGGCTAGTAAGACCTTCAAGTGAAGGAATCTGTTCCTTCAAGTATAGGAACCTGTAAACTCCTTTGTGATGGGTGTAAGGGTGCATTGGGAGATTGAGACACATTTTTAGACATATCAATATTTTGAAAGATTTTGAAAGTTTTCGTTTTGCCATTTACAAGGGTATTTTGGTGCCATTTTTGTTGTTTATGCTGATGCAAGTGTTCAATATTTATGAGCAAAATTGTGACGTCATTTCAGGCAGAAACCTCAATGTTGCAGATATTTCAGCACCAAAAGTTGCCAGAATTGTGGATATTTCTGCTGTTGTAAATTTTCTGTTCTTTGGTGATTCATTGTCATGTCAGTACATGGCAGTAAGCCAATGAGCAAACTTTTCTCGTAAATGTTTTCAATGAACAAATGTTTGGGTTCACAATTTGAACAGAAAATCCCTAAACTGAACGGTGTCTTCCTGAAATGACATCACAGCAACAATGCGCTCAGTTGGAAAAGCATGGACAATTTTTGAATGTTTAAAGAAGTGCACTTTTCAATAAGAATAAGCCAAAAATGAATGTCAATTAGTTTTCATACATTAACAGGAGTGGAAAGTTGCACAAATGCCTTCCTCAGAAAAATTCATTTCATGGACTTTTTAAGAGCAGAAACTTACTGCACAATGAGTCCGCTTCGTCTGAGCCATCATCACAATTATTATGTTTGTTACAAACGTATCGTCGACTGATGCACTGTCCCGAATCCACGCATTTGAATTGCCAGGCTGTGCATTCTGTCGTACCTTAAAAGACAAATTTATCAAGAACCAGGTTTACCAAAATTTAACTGTGTGTGTGTGATTTTTCTTTTTATTATTATTATTATTATTATTAATCATTTCTGGTAATGAAACCAAGGATTCCCCAAAAGCGCCCTAGGCACTGTAGCTCGCAAGCCTGAAGAAACTTGTGGAGAGAAGACAATGAGAAGAAATTACAGTTTTAGAGGTGGGAGGAAAAGCCCAGAAGAATATTCTGGGGAAAACCCACGCAATCAGGTAGGGACTGAAAACTTAATCCACATATTGGCCCAGGCGGGATTCGAACCCACGTCTTTTTTTTTTTTTTTTCTTAGAAATTACTAACGTGTAGCAAAATCGTAAAGTATGGGCTTCATGAACAAGTACCCCCCTCAACGGCAAGAAATGGAGAGTTTGGGGAGACTGCTGGGAGAGACAGTCGAACGCATTGCCGATGATATTAATATTGTGCGTATTTGGTGCTATATGCACTCGAAGCAGTACGTCCACTACACGCCAAACAGTTGTAAAAACGCCCTCTCTGGTTCACGCACATAACCTATACGTTTTCATTCATCATTGGAGTTGGTCTTTGCATTAAAGGGAATATGCAACATTAATTGTAAACATCAAAAAACAAAACTACCACATTATCATGAAATACCTTACTGGACTGTTAAGCGCCCGTCACATTATATGCGCTCTCATAGGAGACCTTACGGCGACCAATAAATTTGCAGCGAGGACACAAGAGAATAAAAATTTTCTGTCTCAAGTGGCCAGAAAGTAGCTCAAGCTACGCTCATACTATGCTCTTCCCACGCTTACGATGCGCTCAACTCGCTCTCTGTGCGCCCCTGTCAAGCCGAATTACTCGATCTAGTCGCTGCCGCTGCGCTCACACTACGCTCTGCTTGATGTTGATACGTCCTAGTAGCTCACGTCGCGCTTTCTATCCGAACAAAATACGCTTACGTGACGTCACTTGCACTGTATAAATACCACGACAAAATGGTCAAGTCCAGTTTCAAAATTATTCTACAAGTTCACTGCAGTGGAGTTACTTTCTCACGAAGGCCACATCGACTGCCTTGCGCATAGGCTGGCTCAATGCCACTTCAATGTCGAACAATTCACGCTTGCACAGCGCCCGAGGTGCGTCATTACGGCGCCCTTACCAGCGCAGAGGTGTTGCGATTGTTTTGAGCATGCTCAAAAACGTTGGCACTCATCAGAGTGCAAATAATTCAATGACATGTGATCAACGATCCTCCAATCAGATGACGGGGATTTATTCAGGTGTTGTATCATATCTGCTATAAAATACTAACCCCCAAATCCATCCTTTTCTGAAAATTACAGCAAAAGCAAATGTTGTATATATTCCCTTGAACTTACTGCATTGGGCCTGTGTGCCTTCATCGCTGTTGTCTGGGCAGTCCCTGTCACCATCACACAGCCACAGGATAGATGTCAAACAGGAACCATCGTTGCATTGATACTCGCCTGGCTGGCAGGATCGCGGAGCTGTGCATTCAAAAAAGACAAAAACGTAACATACACTAATGGATTCTTTTTAACAGTACATTATTACTGCGGTGATCGGGAATGAATATTTTTCTTTTTGGCTACATTCCCCATAGAAAATGAAACCAGGATCCCGCCGGTATCCTGGAGGGATCCCGCTGGGATAGAGAAATCCTGGTGGGATCCCGGTTTCTTACCTGATAGTCCTATATTTTCGGACTATAGCCCAGGGGCCTACTGCACCTACTGTGAAATCGGTGGGGCTTTTTGGGGGGAGGGGGGTGGTTTAACCCTTTCATTACCACATTGTTTTCCCCAGGACAAAAATTGTTTGCTCAGTCATGCGGAAATCACTAGAGCGTGAACAAAATGAGCACTAGTCAAAAACTCACTTTTTCCAACCCAGATTTTCACTGCCAAGGAGTGATTAAAATCATAGGTGTTGTGTGTAAAGTTTGTTCCTTGAACCTTACTCTTTTATGTGATGTAAAAATGAAGTCCATACGTGCAAATATAAGAAAGTTATGCCTTTTTGTTCATCTGGTCCCAATTATCAAACTGCAAGCCATTTCACCATATGACCCAATGGCACTCCATACCTCAAATTGTGCGTGGATACTTCTGAAGCACTTTTCTCATTTTCTTGTAATGGTAACACTATGAATAAACCACACCAATAGAAAGATACGAAAACACTCTTTCAGCTGGTATATAGTTGAGGTATGGGCGGCCAAACATATCAACATGCCGCCTTTCTGAAAAGTAGTGAATATATCTGTGGTGAGGGTGTTTTGTGTGTGGTTTCCTGGTCGACTAAAGTCGCCCATGGGAACCAGCAGGGGGGTACTTCTTGTCGACAAAAGTCGCCCATGGGAAGGAAAGGGTTAAATTATATTTTAAGGATCGAATTGGTGCAACTGGAGTTTAGATTTGGTACCTCTCTGGTGTACACCAATTCTACACCAAGCAATCACTGAATATGCAACGGCACCATGTGTATATATACACCACATACACTCTGAAACGTTCAACCAACCAAACACCTACATGTGAATACTTACGGCAGCCTATTTCGTCATTGCCACTTCTACAGTCCTCAACTCCATTGCACTGCATGTACCATGGGATGCACTGTCGACCAAAACAAAGAAAAAATTAAGTCAATGTGAAAAGGAAGGGCACCAAAGAACAAATGGCACCTTCCCTTAAATTTTCATCCGTTAGTTTATAACCCCCCCCCCCCTTTTGAAAGCCATGAATTCTGCACATCCCCCCCCCCCCCCAACATTTGATGCTCCATTAAAAATAATGTAGAAATATACATCCAAAAAATCTGCATGGCCAACGTAACCATTTGTAAATGTCCATTAACACTGTTATCATAAACACTGTTATCATAATGTCCTTCGATATATACAGCCCCGCACCCCAACCCTTTTCGCTCATACGCTAATGTTCCCAGGCTGGGGTGCCGCTTGTAACAGTGCGCATGCTGATTTCTACCAACTCTTTTTTGGCACCTTGCCAGGAGAAAAGTTTTAATAAAGACTTCCGGCAGACTTGACATTCAGAGAAGTTTGAAATATGCCCATCCAAAAATCTTGAGTTTCACACCCTTTGAAATATCCCCATTCGAAAATTGAGTTTAATAACCTCTTACAATGTTAAAAGAGAAAAGTTTTTTTCGATGGGATTTTCAAAATATTATTTTGCATGTGCAGTGAACACTTTTAAAAATATGCCCTAAAATAAGAATGCGAGATGTGATATTTGAGTGAAGATAATAGAAGTCTACCCTCAACTTTCAGTAAACTTATGCCAACACAAGACACTTTTATAGGATTCTTTTTATACGTCTGAAGGCCGGTTCAAATTCAAAATGAATTTGAATGCAAAACTTTGCGAACTTTGATGTCAGTAGACACTCGCTGCGATATTCACCGGAATTGAAATGTGCTCAACCTTTGCAGATTTGCAGTTCGAATACTTTACGTGACGTAACAACTTTGTTTTCACGGTCGCCTTTGCGCCGAGCATGAATCAGACTTTATAGCTACTTTTTACTACAAATGATGATTTCTTCCGGCAGTGAACGTCTTTACAATGTACCTTGTCTTCTGCAGTACAGGGATTCTGTCCTGCCGGGCATCGCGGTATGCAATCGTTTCCAGATTGGACGTAGTTCTCTGCGCAGGCACAGGTGTAGGCATTGCCTCCAGGGGCAATCAGGCACAGTCCGGGGCAGGTGTTTGGCCCGCAGATATTGGTCACTGGTCAAGAGGAGAGCAGACAAAGGCGTCAGCAATAGACCAATCCATTCAGTCGCACGCGTCATATGCATGTGCACGTATGTCGGACTTCTGTGCTCACATGTTGGACATTAACTGGCCCACACAGTGTAATTTTTTTTAATGTAATCCATGAAAACGCACCTTTGTGTCCCATTTAACCTTATTTTCAAATTCTTTTTGCAATTTTAAAGGTATTTGGTGCTTTTTTTTGTTTTTACGCTAATGCCATTTTCAATAGCCATGAGCTAAACTGTGATGTCATTCCATGCAGAAACCTCAATGTTACAGCTGCATGTATTTCGGCACAAAAGTTGCTGAAAGCTTAGATATTTCGCTGTTGTAAACTTTCTTTTCTTTGGTGATTCGTTATTTTGTCAGTACAGGTAGGCATGCAACAGGGAATTTAGAAAAAAAACGGGGAACTCCAAACCACACAAGACTTTGTACAGTGTTTTGCAATCTGTAAAGGCATTCATGAGAAGTAAAAAACGAGGAAATCAGGAAAAGGAAATGTTGCATGCCTGCTACATGGCAGTAAGCCAGTGAACAAACTTTTCTCACAACGATTTCAAATGAGCAAATTCTGGGTTTGCAATTTGAACAGAAAACCTGTCAACTGAACAGTGTCTTCCTGAAATGACATCACAACAATAGCACCCTCTGTTGTCAGGAAAAGCATGGACAATTTTAAATATTTAAAGGAAGTGCCCTTTTAAATAAAATAACCAAAACGGGGTGTCAAATAGTTTTCATATATCTAAGAGGAGTAAAATGTTGCATAAAATGTGTTCCTATGAAATATTCATTACATGGACCCTTTAAAGAGTGCTTCGGGTCGGCACAAGTTTTCCAGTTACGCGCATCATATACACGTGCATGCATGTCAGACATATACGCACACATGTTGGACAATAATAAGTGATGCAACAATAGAAATCTCATAGATGCATGCGCGACAGCTAGCACATGAACGCCATTAAATAGTGCTAAGGGTTAGCACAAGTTTTCTAGCCGCACACCATACGCATGTGCATGCTTGTCGGACTTTTGCGAACACGTGTTTAATTTTAACCCTCCTATGCAAACATAAATTCTGAGCCAAGTAGTCCTTTCAGTCAAAATCAAACGTTAAGAATTCCCAGCCTTCATAAAGCGGGATTGACTGGCTGGGACTGTATAAGTGACTTGATACAGCTATGATTTGACTCCCGGTGAGTGATAAAACAGCTGTGACCACAACTTGCCTGCTTTGTCTGTTGACCCAGTTTGACTAGTCACAGTGCTTGCTTGACATATGATCTGACTGTTGGTGACTAGCCTTTGTTAAAAGTGTATCAGGGGAAGTGGAAGTGAATTTTGACTATCTGTTACGGCTTAAATAGCAGGAGGGTTAATAAGTGATGCGACAATGGAAATATCTAATCATGCACAACAATTAGCACATCCACGCAATTCAAGGTTAGGCTAAAATGAGGAATGTCTCTCAAAACCTTGTTTTGGGTAATCAGTGCCTGAAGTTGGATTATGTTAAAAATTGTCCCAAAATTGATTTGGGGGTTTCTGGGGTATTTTTTGAGCAGCCAAGGTATTCAAGGTTCACACTGTGCATTTTGGTTGTGAAAAGATATCCCAAAAGAAAGAAAAAATGACAATTTCTGTAAAGTTTTTTTCAAAATTTGTCAGTAAATTTCTTCTGAACAAAGACTGACAAAAATTCAACGTGAAATTTCAAGAGAATCGATCAGTGCGTGTAGCTTTGTGTGGTACCATTCAAAAGCGCATTGACTGCTGTTTATTTTTAGCAGTGACATCAGCCTTCAATGGATTAGCAATGCACAATTAGTTGTGGTAGACAGTAAACAAAACGCCCTGCTGCACGGCTAATGACAGTGTCTAGTCATAAAAATAACACCATCTGATTGGACCACATTGTATGAATGGTGAATAGAGCATGCGCTGTAAGTGTTGTTGACTTAGATACGTGACGTATTGTAGCACTGATCCAATCTGTGACCGCATGCCTACAGCGGGCGCACTCAGAAAGTGTTACAATGTAACAAAACCATCCCACATGCTTACGTATGTACATGTCACATGTAAGCTTGCAATGCACAATGCCTAAAGCATAACTTTTTTCAAACCGTATTTCTCGAAATAGAGTCGCAGAAGTTTGCGATGTACGACCGACTTCCTTGCGGCATATCTTTGAAACAAACTGAGCTACAGAAATAACTTTAGTACCATTATTAAGCTACAGAGTTGCTCTTCAAAAAGTTAATGATGGGAATTATTCCTCATTATGCCATGACAGCTAGGTCCCAAATGGTTCAACTCACTATGGGGTTGTCGCAGTGGATGGACCACCTTGATGTCAAACGGCCGGTGAATGGTGCTAGTGAGCTCAACCTCCGCCCCGCTGTACTTATTCGCCTTGAAGATCTTCTTCAGGTTCCAGTCGGTGTAGTAGACTGTATTGTCGAACACAGTGATGGCGAAGGGGTGGGCCACGGTGTGCCGATCGCCGTCGTGGAGAAGTTGATGGATTGTCTGGAAGTTCAGGTCCGAGTAGCTGGGGGGGGGGGGGGCAATTTAGAGAAGACAATATGAAAATGTGATACATCCATTTGAAAAAAAATTCTTGAAAAAGTTGTACGGTCATGAAAACTTATAGAACAAACACATCATAACAGCTGTTTCTTAACTAAACTTTTCAGTTGGCTGTAATCTTACATTGTTTTTAACTGTATACAAGCCGTCGAAACTGACTGAAGAGGGCGAGATTTAAAAATGCATCAAAATGGTGTGTACATTGGGTTAAGACAAGGAAGTCTGTTCTTAAATAGGAACAATTTTTTTCCCACAGGAACAAGTTTCACGGAATAATGTAGTGCATCTATATCCCACGTACCATGTGGCCTTTGGCCTTTTGATTATGTGGGACACAGGCGCACTACATTTTCCGTGTTCCACCAGCGTGAGTGGGATAACAAATCTATCTGCAAGCCAACTTGACGCACATCAGTAAAGATGGAACAAGCATGTGGTTATCAGGTTTTTGGCGGTTTTCCCATTATACGTGCGTGCAGAAGGAATGGCGTGTGCATCTTGGAAAAGTGTGATATGCAGAGTGCGATATCAACCGTGCAATATCACACTGTTGTTGCCGTGAATCCACCAATCAAGATCAAGCATTTAAGTGTGCCTGAAGATAATTAAGCGCTATATAAGATGACTTAAGTCTATCACGAGCCAATGTGGCCCATCAGGTTTGCGCTTATTTCTGGTTTCAGTAGCACGAAACGACTGAGAATAAGTCTATTCCCCCTGGATGGGATGCTAGTCCATTTCAGGTTACTCCCAGCTAATGCCGGTACCCATTTATACTCCTGGGTGGAGGGAGGCAAGTGGGGATGAAGTGGCTTGCCCAAGGACACAACATATGGCCAGCAGCTGGATTCGAACCCCTGACCTTCTGATCACGAGTCTCGAATCCTAACCACTAAGCCACACTCCTCTACATAAAATATTATTATTATTAAAGCTAGTTATTTTCCAAAGTTTCCCTATTTTAAGAAACTTACGCCACGTAGTCCAAATGGGCATCAACCCAGTAAACTATGCCCGACGTGTAGTCTATGGTCAGGCTGTTGGGCCACGTAACTCTGTCATCGTGGAGTTCCATTTTGTTGGCTCCGTCCATTCCAAGTCGGCCGATGTATGGCCTCAGGCCCCAATCGCACCAGTAGACATACCTAACGCCAAGGAAATCATCAGGTCATAAAATGTGATGATTCACAAGTTGCCCACTTGCTCTCAGGCAGTGCTTGGCTAATATACAACATGGTTTCAGGGTGGATAGTGGGTATCAGCTCCCCTCGGTTATGGAAGTTGACAAACTTTGCCTCGGGAACTAGTTTGTCAACCTCCAATACCGATATATACAAATATAACACGGTTTGAGGGTTGATAGTCGATATTATACAACACCTGAATAAATCCCTGTCATCTGATTGGTGGATCGTTGATCACATGTCATTGAATTATTCGTACCAATGCACGGCGCGCGCGTGGCGAGCAACGCGCAGTGCAATGGTAGTACTATTGCACTGTGATTAGAAGTACCATTGCACTGTCACTGCACATGTTGCCGATGGTGGCGCTGTGGTGTTTAAATTGGCAATAAAAGTTCTGAACTTATTGAACTGTTTGAGTTCTAAACTTGGAAAAGGAAAAATGAAAAAGTTTTACATTGAGATAAATTGAATATGATAGTTCTCAACCTGTTGAACAGTTTGCATAAATTAAATATGATAACTCGTCAAACTTGTAAACAATTTTTAACTTGAATAAATTGGCTATTAAAAGACAACCAATCAGATGACGAAGATTTATTCAGGTGTTATATAAAACAAATAATGAATGTTTCACGTTCGTGCAATAGAAAGAATAATTTCATTCGGTAACAGATGAAATGTTCCATTCCACTCGGCTTCGCCTCGTGGAATGGAACATTTAATCTGTCACCTCATGAAATTATTCTTGCCATTGCACTCACAAACATCCATTATTTGTATACTATCACCCCGAGGTATTTGAAGTTGACAGACTTATTCCTGAGGCGAAGTCAACCGAACTGGTCTGTCAACTTCCAATACCGATTTAACTTCTTACCCTATACATATACTCAACCAAAAAAGAAAGTCCCCCCTAAATACTTTTTTGTCTAACTCAAAAACTACTGGGCACATCTTGCTCAAATTTCAACTGATCAGCACAGAAAGTCCTTAGCAATCCAGCCATACTCTTTGTTTGGCCCCAAACAGTCTTAATGTGTACAAAATTATGCAATTTATGACAAATGGAACCCACCAAAAAGTTGCACTTATGTATACGTGCAAGGTGATTGTGAACCACAACTTGCACATATACAAACGTGCAACTGTTTTCATTATCATTTATCTTAAATAGTATAATTTCGTACACATTATCACTGTTTTGGACCAAATGAAGAGTATGGCAGGATTGCTAAGGAATTTCTGTACTGATTAGTTGTTATTTGAGCGAAAGGTGCTCAGTAGTTTTTGAGTTAGACAAAAAGTATTTGAAGGGGGGACTTTCTTTTTTGGTTGAGTGTATATTCACCAAAATTAAGTCAAATACAGCATCAGTTACCTCCTCGAAGTACCGTGCTTAGTAGACTAGCGAAAGGGTAGCCCCAGATGTAACCTGATCTTACCCATTTTGGGGATCCAAAGCCAAACCACGGGGCTCAAACAGACCGGAGCGGAGAAGAGACAGACGATTGCTACCATCCAGCTCTGATACCTCCAGCAAATCAGTGACCTTGTCCGTCCAATACAGCTTTCTGGAAACAAAACGAACAATTGCCACATCATAGTAATTCCGATTCTTTCAAGCGTTTATAGTCAATGTAATCACAATTGTAGCAAATCATCAGGGGACAATGGAAAGTCCAATCACAATTTATTCAGTCTCATGCAAAGTGACAAGCTATTCAACAAAATTGCTGCCTTGTGATTGGCTAGTGATTAGCTCATGACTGCCTTGCGATTGATTAGTGACTGACTTATGACTGCCTTGCGATTGATTAGTGACTGACTTATGACTGCCTTGTGAATGACCAGTGACCAACTTCTGACTGCCTTGTGATTGACTAGTGATCGGCTTCTGCCTGCCTTGTGATCGATTAGTGATTGACTTATGATTGCCCTGTGATTAACTAGTGATGGACTTGTGCCTGCCTTGTGATTGACTAGTGAGTGACTTATGCCTGCCTTGTGATTGACTAGTGACTGATTTATGACTGCCTTGTGATTGACTAGTGATTGGCTTGTGGCTGCTTTGTGATTGACCAGCGACTGCCTTATGACTTCCTTGTGATTGATTTGCGTTTGGCTCGTGTCTGCCTTATGATAGACTAGTACCTGGCTTGTGTCTGCCTTGTGATTGACTAGTAATTGACTTGTGACTGCTTTCTGATTGACTTGTAACTGTCTCGTGACTAACAAGTGATTAACTTGTGATTGCCTTGTAATTGACTAGTGGGTTTTGCAACAACACCACAAGAAAATGGTTCGCCAAGGGTGCCAGCTGCACTCCTTCGTCGCACAAAATGCCATGTTCTACATCACAGCAGACAACCATTGTATAACGAATATCATGGTGAATAGGATTATTTGTCCAATGAGGCTTTGGCCTTACTTGGTGACCCAATCAACAGCGAGTCCCTCGACGTTGAAGATGGAATGGTTGTGGATGGTCTCCAAGTTGCCAAGTCCGATCCCGCTCACCAAGTCCACATCCATCCGCATGATGGCCCGGGCTTGGACGTCTGAGAAGTATATCTTGCCGCCCGTGTAGTCGTAGTCAATAGCCACCACCAAATCGAAGTCCTGCGCGATGCGCCTATCCTGAGAGCCCACCGCAACGTCCATCCAACGGATGTAGTAGCGGTTGGCGAAGAGGAGGTGAGGATCGCCCCCTGGACACAAGAAACAAACAAAAAAGCTGATTTACTGCAAGATGCAATTTCTAGTCACCCTCCATCATGATTGGAATTTCTGGCTGATGCAGTGGTATTTTCTCGCACCTTCCACCCCTGTGACCCAGGTTTGAATCTTGCCCAGGCCAGCATAAGGATTGGATTGGGTATTCAGTCCCTGCCTGATTAGGTGGGTTTCCCTTTTGAAGTGTTATTTTTGAAATTTCATCCAGAAAAAAAAGACTTTGTTTTTAAATTGTGTTTTTCTAGCAAAACAAACGTTATTCACATGGAAATGACCTATTTTGTGTTCTGGGGTTTTTTTTCTCGCTTTTTTTAGTTCTTCTATCCTAAATCCCATTAGATTTTGTACATTAATTTATTCTGGAAGGCACTTTGACCATTTCATATTAAAAGACTCGTTTTTCTCATCAAGCTTGGCAAACAGACAATGACACACTTAAGTTGTGTACCACTTAAGTTGTGTACCACAATGTGATGTCATGATGACATCATCGTGTGTCATGTGACACCAGCTTTAAAGGTTCATTTTCAAATTCCTTTAAAGTTGAATTCCCGTGCTCTTCAACAAATCAAATTTTTGCCTTTTTTGTTTCTATCCAAGAAAAACAAACATTTTTATTTTGACACAAACAGATCTGCCCTTGCAAGCAGACTCGTTCCTGGTCTGTAGATTATTGATACTGATTGTAAGGTGGGAACCAGCCTACCTCTCAAGAACAAAATTATTGTCAGGCTGCAAGTAAATTAGAAATATGTAAACTAATAATTCAGTAACGACACACGGGCTGAATTTTGATGTCTCATTAAAAAGTGAGTAACTATTGTATTGCTACAAAAACAGCAATTAAGAAAAGAGATCAATTTTGCAGGAACAAACTCGAAAATTGCAAGGGAATGCAACTGTATTAGATGTAGCTTATATTGAACAGAGACACTGACAAAATGAGAACTGTCAACATAGGGCTGGATAGCTCAGTTGGTTGTGCACCGGAACAGTGATCCGGAGGTCGGAAGTTCAAACCCCACAATTTCTTTAGTCAACTTTAAAATTAGTTTATATTGTGTGCGTAACTAATAATAACAATGTGTATTGTGATGAATCATCAACTATACGTTTTATACATTAACATGAACTGTATAGTGACTTTTCTTTAGTGCCCAGTCACTCATACTAGAACATCAGCATTTAATTGGCCAGCGCTGTTAGTGGGCGTGGCTTAAGTCATCTACTAAGCAATACTGCATTTTCATTGGTTGAGGCACCCTGTGTACTTAAGTAATGAGGGGCATTTATTGTATGTGAATGTATATGACCATGTTGGCCTATAAAAGGCACAGTTCGAGAGAATAAATCTCACTTCTTCGCCTGGTGGGACCAAAGAAGTCAAAGAAGTCTCCTGTCTCTGTTTTATTGTCTAATTGTCACTAATTAGGGTGTAAGTCTCCCCCACTTGAGCCACTTGAGCCACTCGAGCCACTCGAGCCACTTGAGCCACTTGAGCCACTTAGCCACTGGGGAGCCACCCTGAGCCACCGGTCAGCCACCCAGAGCCACCGGTCAACCTCCCAAACCACAGGCTAATCCACCCAAAACCACAGGTTAATCCACCCAATCCCCTAAATCCCAAACACAAGTTGAGTTAGCGCTTTCCCCTGGTGGAGCAGATTTGGGAGTGCTGTTCGTCACTTGGTGCTGTGGCCTCCTACCGCAGGTGCTTCAACTCCATCGGGACTGGGCCAGAGAGGCAAGGGACCGACTAGGCGACGCACGTTACAGTATTCATAAAGCACATGTATCCATCATTATTGGTGCTTAAGGTGCTACATCATTATTACCCTGCTCATTGTGCCAATGAAACATTCCAAAGACAATCTCAGCTCCCTGGGGAGTATACAGCTCGATGCTGTCATTTCTGGGCAAAGCAGCTAGAATCAATCACAATAACTATCTCTGCCCTCACAGGTACCCATTTACTCCTGGGTAGGGAGAACCCACAACCTGCAAAATAACCCGCAGACCACGAATTCCATGCTCCAGACCACGAGGCCACTGCACTCCACACACAACTTACCCTGGGTGACGGTACAGTTGTAGCCGTCACTAGACAGGGTGTAGCCCTGTGCACAAGAGCACGCGTAGCTTCCCTCACTATTCGTACAGACCTGGTCACACAGCCAAGGCGTCTCTACGCACTCGTTTAGGTCTATTGCAAAAAGGACAAAAAGAACATGGAAGTTTGAAAATCGAGCATGCTTGATAGGTAACAGCATCTAAATATGTCAGTGTTGCGGGACTCTAAATTTATTACATTTTGGATTAAACACTTGCATGTTCACTCAGTTGTCATCTAGATATGGTTGTATCAGATGCAATGAAGGACTCCAATATACATTATGGCCATACACACGGCGCTCATGCAAAGATGATACAGCACCCGATTTCACAAAGCGCTTCAACACTTCACAACACAAGTTACAACATGTAGCACGTCGCGACTCTCGACGCGCCGAACGATCCATTTCACAAAACTTGCGATGTGTTGAACGCGTCATAAGTTCCTTGACAACGACTTAAACACGTCGCAAGTTACGACATTTCTAGTGGTCATCACAAAATAAGAAGCGTCCTTTTTTAGCCAGTTGTATGCCACAAAAATTGCATAAACAAGACAATGTGTGTAAAGTTGTAAATGGAAAATGCATTGAAATAATGATGAATTAGCATAAAATATTGAAGTTGAAATCTCAAGGTAGCTATACAGTCTACCACAAGCTTGTTTTCCTTTAAAACTGCATCACACATCCTCTATTTTGTTTTATATTTGAAAAACTTCTTTCGAGGAGATCCAACGACTCTTTGTTGAGTATCAGACGACTATTTACTGTACGCCAAATAAATACATATACAACAGTCAGTGTTGTGCTATAAATTCACCTAGTGAAATGAATCGCAGGATGCGTCGCAGCTGCCACATATCATAGCGATGTGACGCGGCACAGTGCTGCAATGCATCGTAAGTTACGATGAGCTTCGTGAAATCGAGGGCAGGCTTTATATTTCATTCAGACTGAAGTTATTTGTGCGGAGTCAAGCAATGTGTCCTTTCCATACAGCTCTCATGAGCAGTCACAAAACGCCATCTACTTCGATTAAAAAAATAAGTTGATTTTTCCTTTTTCTCCCCCTCCCCCTCCGAGATGTCAACCCCCCCCCCCCCCACCCCTGCCAAATTTCTTGCCCCATTCTACGACTGATACTTACCGACACAGTTACGTTGGTCATCCGCTAAGACGTAACCATTTGGGCACAAGCACATGTAGGACAACGGCGTGTCTACGCAGCTGTGCTGGCACGTGTTAGTGGTACACTCATTAATGCCTACAAGACAAAACATCAATGCGACAAAGAAGGGCCTTGAATACATTGCTGATAATTAATAAGCCAGTTCAGTATTTCAATTGCGCATGCCCACAATGATCTGGGTCACGGATCATTCGAGATAATCAAACACTCATCGAAGGCCATGAATGCGTAAGGAGATGGTCGCACGACGCTCACACAGAGTAGAGTAGGTGTTCGCATAACATGGCGTAACATTAGCATCACGTCAGTAATTTTATCCCTAATGACCTTTGACCTGGACTACTTCATCGAAATATCGAACTGGCTTATTGTTTTCCATTACTCGATTGTCATAATATATATTTTCAATAAAAAATGTGAGAGCCTGATGTTTCGACCCTGACATAATATTTGCCTTTGAAGAGGATCCTGTCAGTGTCGATACATCAAGCATCTAATTTCTTGAGATGCACATTTCAGGTCAATCCAGACAGTATAAGCAGTTTGCAGAAATTGTATTCATTTTTCAAAGTTTTTTAAAAGTAGAGTGGTGACTTTACATTTTAAATCCATAAATGTTGACACCACTTTCTTGAATTTTTTTAACCAAAACACATGTGGATCGGGTTTTCAGTCCCTACTTGATTCTGTGGGTTTTCCTCAGAATATTCTCCTGGTCCATTACATGCACATCTAATAACTTAATTGTTCTCCACAACAAAAACCCAAGATAGGCTTTACATCTTGTGAGATATGTTCCTTCCTCACTTCAGTTATTTAAAAGGTAAATTGAGAAGAAGTGAAAAACGCTCACCGAGATTCGAACTCGGATCACCTGATTAGAAGTCAGGACTTCTTCCAACCAGTCCGCGAATCAGCTGTCAATCGTCGGTGATTTAAACACCATTATTCCTTGTTATATAATTTATTCTCTAAAGCCTGGATATCATGAATATGCATAACGCAGAGAGAGAGAGCGCCCTCTTTTGATATTGTCCGATCTCATTTGGGAAAAAAAAATTCGCAGCCAGGCCAAACTGGTAGCTCAGAAAGCCCATTGGCACACTGTGGTAAGTTCGTTGGTCCTCAAATTTGTCGTAGGCGCCCTCAAATTTTTCGTAGGCCCTAGGCACAGTGCCAATTACTCACCGCAAGTACTGCCCTCATCAGAGCTGTCCATGCAGTTGGGGACACCATTACACACAAGGGTTGAGACAATGCACTGCTTGTTGACACACTGGAAGTATTCGGTCATCCCGGTAGGATCATCGGGACACACTTGTTTGTGACAGAAAACGGAGGGAAAAAGAATTATCCAAATTGACAGTGGAAAATATGCTTGCGATAATGGGAAGAGCAATTCCAAGCAAAGTGGACAAGGCTAAAAAAGTGGAAAATTTGTGAAATGTTCCGAACTACAAGCATGACAAGCTCAAATGTGGTATCAAATGAAAGAGGCCAGGACCTTTTATTTGAGTGGTATGCTAGTGAGAAAGAATGTGGTTAAATGCATTTTTTGGTTAAAACAAACCCTGGTTTGGGGGCTAAATTTTCATTTGTTTTCATCTTGTTTTCATATGCAAAATGCAAGTGTTATTGTTAATTTTTATAAAGACTGAGAGAAAGGTTCATATTTTATGAAAATATCGCACAGAACTTAGAATAGCATGATTCAATATGTTTTTGAATCACGTGTTTGAAGTTGATTCTTTTGTTACAACATAAGCATGATGTTTCCATAACATCAAATTTCCTTTTTGGTGAACATGTCATTGGTGTTTTTATAGCGTGAACCTATATCAAAACATAGTTATTGCATTAAATTCTTGCAAGACACTTCTATTCACAGACTTTCATCAACGCGTATTGAAAATCAAAAATCGATGTCTTAAAGCGTCACACCCATAACGGTCGTTTACAGCGCTCATATCTCATTAATTGAATCAGCTATTAACCATGTTCAGTTGTACATTAAGGCTTAAGCTAGCATTTAACCAAATATATCAAATTCTCTTTTACTGCAACTATTTTACTTTTGTAACTGCCCAGAAGCAATCATGCTGAAACTGATTAACTCTAACAGTCTACTTCTACTTCTACTTCTATGCAGCTACTCGTTTAAAGCCTTTTCAGCAACTTAACGAGGACTGTGGTGTGCTGTCTTAAATGATGGACACTTGTGCAGGGTGCTCATGTATATACAAAGTTGGTGCAAGTAAAAAGTCAGCTCCTATGATTTGGGCGCTGATGGCTCCCTTGAACTGCTCCACAGTGGGCAGCTCAATGATGTTTTGGGGAGCGCATCCCAGTCCCGCAAAGTTCTTGGAAAGAAGCTTTGCCTGTAGTTGTCAGAACGGGAGCTGACAAGTCCTAAATATTTCGATTTTAATATGTTTTCTTCACACACCCAAGAAATCTAGAGTTAAAAAAACAATTACTAAATAGTTGCATACAAGTATTAAAAAACAACTTATCAATTTGTGACCAGCTCCACAAAAAAGGGTATTATGTGGCAAAAAAAAAGAAATTGAGTTATATACATGGTTGGTAAGCCCGCCCACGACGTGAGCTTCAATTTTGTATAATAGAGCTTCATATATAGCCCCTCTCATTCTGAAGATATGACATATTTGCATATTAATTACTTCCTTGGAGTTCAAATTTACACAACTGAGAAAACAGGCTTTGAAATAGCTGGCTCTGTTGTAGATTTAGGCACGATGCACTCAAAATTGTCATTTTTTCCCCACTTTATTCATCGAAATCAACATTTGTGTGAATGAACCCTGAAACTGTAGGTAATAAAGATGTCAGTCATGACAAAAAATTAAAATCACATTTTGACAAAATTGTCATTTTGACAAAATGTTCAACCTCTACGATAATGCACAGAGTGACTTCAATTCTTTTTTTTGTGGAGTGGGTTACATTTGGTACACGTATGGTTAAGGGGATAACAAAACAACCATAAAAGAAAACAGTTCACTTACTGCAATTTTCTTCGTCAGAATTATCCCGGCAATGGTCAAAGCCGTCACACCGATTTGATAGCGGTATACAACGTCCGTTGTGGCACGTGAACTGATTAGAATTGCAGGTAGGGTATACTAGAGGGTGAAGAAACAGCAAAGACTGATATAGTAACGAGCACAACCAAACGAAAAGTCACAATTTAAATGGGTTATTGTACACATAAACTTATGCAGTTTTTTAAAATTACGGTTACGGTTTCGCTTGTCTTTACTGGGAGACTACCAAGTGTGCTATATGTACATGTACATGAAGAGTTAATTTCCAAAACGTGATATATCCATTTAAAAAAAAGTTTAACATTTCTATGATTATGAAAATTTAAAGAATAAACTGACACGCACATACTGGAATTTGTATCCTTCTGGAGTCATTTCTATGTTCTCGTGTACTAAAATGTTAAGAGTTTTGAAAGTGTAGTTTCAAAATTCTCCTATTTTAACCAGAATTAATTTCCTGGGCTGAGATTCGGACTTAAATATCCCTTACATAAAATACTTCAGTTTGCGACTGATAACACACCTTGGAAATTCCTAGTTTTTGAGTAAAATTCACGTATTCACCTATAGAAATTTCCCTGTGGAGACGCATACAATCTTTTGTTTCCTGTTATGCACATGTCTCCACAGGGTACCTATACTAAACTTCATTTTTTGCTTTATTGTATTCTTAAATTGTGGTTCAAGCAAACTTGAATCCTCGATCCTGACTGGTCGATCCATGGCAACAGTGTATTATCCCGTAAACCCTGGTCCAACGCAAGTATAATAATACCAACGAGAGAACAATAATACACTATTGTACAACATGCCGCAAAACTTGCAGGCATTACGGAATATTGTTGTCATGCAGCGCGTCATGTGCTTTCATCAATATATACACACAAGATTGCTGAATGCAGATATTGCCAAAGTATGTACATTTATCAATAATTGATAAAACACATTGTCTGAACGATAATTGATCACATCTTAATCTTAAATCTTAGGGCCTAGGCCAATACCTTTACTTTCACAAGAATATATTATCAGTGTCATATGAAAATTGAACTCCTATGAAATCTGGACTTCTCTGCCCTATTGTTGGTTAAACCCTCTAACATGACTGGTCACTCTCCTAATTATCTCCACTTAGGCATGTGCAATACTACCAATGAGTCCATATGTCATACAGTCCTAAATTCACGCAACACCGACATGCTTGACATGGAAGCCTTACTCATCAACAACAGCTGGTTGTCAAGACAATCCACAAATTATACTTACCGCACGTAGCTCCTTCATCACTACCGTCGCCACAGTCGTTGTCATGGTCACATTGGTACCATATAGGAATACACAAATGGTTGTCGCATAAGAACTCGTAACCTAGACAGGGCTGCGGTGTGCCTAATCAAACAAAATATCGTCCAAGAAAAAAATTAACATATATGGTTTTAAAGGGCCTGTGTAATTAAACAATTTTTAATACTATCCTATTTTTAATACTGTCCCATTTAACCTTATTTTCAATTTTCGTTTTGTCATTTCAAGGGTATTTTGGTGCCTTTTTGGTTTTTATGCTAATGCAGATTTCCATATTCATGAGCAAAACTGTGATGTCATTCCTGGCACAAACCTCAATGTTACAGTTATTTCAGCACAAAAAGCTGCTAGAATTTTTCGATATTTCTTTTATCTGGCGATTCATTGTTGAATGAGTACATGGCAGTAAGGCAATGAGCAACCCTTTCTCACAACATTTTTGGTGACTCGGACTCGACTCAAGTCACATTGGAAAATGACTCGGACTTGGACTCAAACTCGACCATGATGACTTGGACTCGAGCTTGGTGACTCGTGACTCGAGTTACGTATTTTCATCAAAGAAAAAAAAACATAACGTAGGGATGGGAAGGAATCATTGAGGAATAATGTTTGGACGATAAAACATGGAGGGAAGGGATGGAGGAGTGTTTTGTTAGGGATAGGAATTAAAAGGAAAACACATTTTTGGTCTAAACAACATACACACATAAGGTAAACTATAGGCTATACACTGGGATTTACTTAAAAGACAGAATGGATGATTGAAAAATAATTTTTTTTTAAATGATTAGTTTGGTGAACTACTAAGAACAAGTGACTCTGACTCTGACTCGAGGCTTGTGACCCGAGACTCGAACTCGGACTCGAGGCTTGAGACTCGAGACTCAGACTCGAGGCTTGTGACTCGGGACTCAGACTAGATGTTGGTGACTCGACTACAACACTGCCACATGGCCATAGCACTCTGCTAGGCCACAGCATCCACAGAACATTTCATTCGGTTGGCATAATTTCTGAATTGTTTTGCAGAAAGTGCAACGATGACACTCTCTTTTTGTGAATTTGGTGGTTTTTTTTGTTTCTGCATTTTTGTATTATTTACCACACATGGTTGTGTTCTCGTCCTCAGCATACTCGCAATGACTGGTCCCGTCACACAATAGTTCCAGCGGGATGCAGCGGCTGTAGCCTGGGCGGTTGCGTTGGCAGGTGAAGTAGCGAGTACTGTCGCAAGCATGGGTGCCTGAAAAGGGGAGAAAGGGGAAGGAAGATGAATCAAGTAATGAAAAGTGTGTTAGTATACAAATATTGAGTGGCTCAGAGTGAAATGGGAGGAATATCTGGTAAAATCTGGACTTTTCCATTTCACAAGGCGAAGCCGAGTGAACTGGAAAAGTCCAGATTTTACCAAGCGATGATATTCCTCCCATTTCACAATTTAAACACTCAATATTTGTTTTATATAACTGACATATATAGTCCTTTCATTTGATATATTTGAACTATTATTTCAATTCAAAATCGGTGGAAAATGTATTTCTCTCTTCCAAACCACCCCTTCACGAAAACGTTTGAACCCAATTCTGTAGCGCTGGCTTTTTGGAACAATACGCGCTACGCGCAACGCTAAACGCGCACACCAACATGCATTTGCACAAAAACATGTCTGGGAAAATCAACAATATATTTACTCAGCAATATTTTCTGCTTTTAACCAGTTCACATCAGATGACGTGTATACACACAAAGGTTTGCGGTATTTGGAACGGATGACGAATAAACACGCAACGAGCGAGGCCGGAAAAATCTGTCAGCGAGGCCAGAAATATCAGGGTGTGCTTCCCACAGCTGACGGCCTGAACCTGTCTGGCATCGAGGTTCATGAAAAACAATCACGTGCCTGGGTGCGATCAATGTCAAAATAATCCCAGAGCAAACTGGTTAAGCATCACTACTGATCGGGGATACTTACTGCAAGAGTGTAGGTCCTCACTCTCATCTGAGTTATCGCCGCAGTCGTCTTCCATGTCACAAATCCACACATTGGGAATGCAGCGACGACCGTTCAAGCACTTGAAGTGCTCGGCCGGACAAGTATTACCAGGATCCACTGACAAAAAAAATGGAAATCGGATGGATCAATACTAAAGGAATAATAGTGCTTTGCCGGTTTTAAAGCAAGTTGCTGGTTCGTCTGACCTATCCTGGCAATTCCAAAATGCGTTGCAGTTGGTGTAGCCATTGAGGGAGATGGTCAACAAGTTCGCAGCGCGCGACATTTAAAAATGTTAGTCGTAGTTTCGTAAGCGTATGATTCGAGGATCTGTTTGCCTTTTTCTTTTTATCAATATGGTGTTTTTTTGTAAGGCGGCAGAACACTATGCCCCAATCTATAACATATAAGCTCAAGTTGTCTGTGACACTCATTCAAATGGGCCATGTTTTGTCCACCATAAACTTGAAAAATTGACTCTCCATGGGAAACTCTTGGTGGCGCACTGCAATGTGAATCGCCCAAAATTCCAGTTAGAGGCTTGTTTGTAAGGCTGTGCCCAAACCTGGTATATTGGGCCGTGGCTGTGACTCTTGCCATTGACACAAGACAGAGAGAAAAACCAAATCCATTGACAACAACGCTATTTTTTTACTCAAATCTTATACTGATTCAAGGAAACTACACTCACGGCAAGATGCTGGTTCGTCTGACCCATCCTGGCAATTCATAAATCCATTGCAGTAGGCGTAGCCAGGCAGGCACTGAAATGTATCCGCACATTTGATCATGCTCGCTGGGCAAGGGGTATTCTCTGTTGGTCAAAACAATCAGCAAATACAAGATAAACATGTATACAAAGACAAATCAATATTCACAATATTTCTTAACCCGTAATTACTTTCTCTGTAATTTTGCGCCTGGGACCTTCTGGAATGCCACAAAATCAGCCACTGTGCTCTTAGGAACCGACTGGCTTATTTTTTAGTCTCAGGGGAACACAAAGTCATGTGTACAGTAGTATATAGAAGCTTGTGGCTTCCTTCCTCAATCCTGCAAAATCCTACAAAATGTCCTGATAGATTTTTAACTACCCCTCTTAGGACCCGACTGGCTCATTTTTTAGTCTCAGGGGAACACAAAGTCATGTGTACAGTAGTAGAAGCTTGTGGCTTCCTTCCTCATCAATCCTGCAAAATCCTACAAAATGTCCTGATAGATTTTAACTACCCACGTGACAGGCTCTCGACCAATAGGAATAAGTAAACTGTCTCAGGCATAATGAATATGATGTACTAAGTGGTTATCCTGCTTTGGCGGTTCTCAGGACGCATAGAGTCGCTGGAAGTAGTGATTGATTACCATGAGAATTTGTCCCCCTACTGCGATCCTCCGTTTTGCGCCCAAAACCACCCCGAAATTGGTGCTGCTTTTGTCATACAGACCCATATAAACAGCGACCTCTATAGTCATATTGATGTGTAGCTTGGGAGCTCCCCTTACAAATGCAATCACAGCGTGTGTACCTGTATGCGTTCATGTACGTGTGCGAATGTATGTGCGTACACACGCTGTACGTACGTGGTCGCAATCGTTTAACAAAGGTAAAAAAAATCTAATTGGACCACGCCTCACCCACCCACTGAGTTTGAGCGCCGTGCGACCTGCCACTTTCGAGATATAAGCCCGGACAAACATCCAAAAAGAGACTTGTATATTATTATATAGCGATTTGAATGGGGATAAAGTCACCTCTTTATTTCATGTAAGTTGTATTATGTGAGACATTCTAGCAAAATGCCAAAAAGGCAAAATCGCAAAAACTTTTGACTGTTTTGTTGCAGTGAAAATTAAAGATGCCACTGTTTTTCCTTAAAAAAGACTTTTATATTATTTCTTTAAAAGAATTATGTTTAGTAGACATATCAAAGATTAATATTATCAATAAATCTGAAAATCAAAAAAAATTCCCCCCCCCTTCTGTTTTTCCCCTTCATTGTTCTTCACTATAGCCTGTGTCCAGTTCTGTCCAGTTCCATTTCATTTTGCCAGAACGCCTTACATATCTTTGTTTATCTTATAACTAATCAGTCAGGGGTCAAATGACGTACCACAGAAGGTGCGGTCTTCATCTGACATATCTCCACAGTCATTGTCCCCGTCGCAACGCCACTGGGGTGAATGCAAGCATTGTGGGTACCCACGGCTGTGGTCGGGCATTTCTCAAAGTCCAGAGGGCATAGAGTTTGGGCTAAATAGAAGAGGAAAAAAAAACAGGAAAGAGTGACAGAGTAATAGAACGGAGAACCGGTGAACAATTACAAAATTAATCTGATCTACTTATTTTCCAATAACAAACAAAACAAACACCCACCCTCCCCCCTCCCCAAAAAAGTCTCGTTATTTGATACCCAACCCAACAAAAGGAGTAGTTTCAGAGCCTTTATGTGTGCAAATTTTGCACATTGAAATTCAACAGGAAGTCAACAATGTCACCCATTAAGATATCAAAGTAATTAAAATATGAAGAACAAAGGGTGCTCTTTTTAATTAATCCATGTAAGAAAATTGATTAAAAAAAACAAATTCCTTACAACTAGTTTTGTTTTATCCTGTCATATTACCAGGAAAGGATTTTTGTTTACCATCTTACTGCATAAACAAGTTTGACAATAAACAAGTACCAATTTCAAAGAATGGTCTAGCATTATGTGGTCATTTAGAAAATTCATTGTTCCAGTAAATAAAAAAGCCAATATTTCATCTAGAAGCAAACTAATGCCTCCCCCTCCAACAAAAACAAAAAGAAGAAAGTTTCTAAAATGTTTCACACTTCTTCAGCTCAATGACCGACATTTCATACAAAAAATCTATCCTATCAGTTACATGTTATGTGCATAAGACTGTGTATAAAAATGTACCGTAAAATATAAATAAAGCAAAAATAAAAACAAAACGGAGAAAGACGTAAGGTGGTTTACTTTGACAGTTGCGCTCATCTGCAGCCGTGCCGTCCACACAGTCAACAAAACCGTCACATACATAGCTCTGAGGCAGACAAAGACTTCCGCATGTGAAGGCACATGATTGGCATGCTAAAGGGAGACACACAAAAAAGGAAGACCGAAACAAAATTAGTACCGGTAATGCACGGTGGACAGTATTTTATGAAAACAAAACTCCCTGCATTTTCCCTGATATTTCCCTGGGGAAATGTCCAAAAATTGCATGAGAAATATTTTCACTTTTACAAAGTTGCTGCAAAGGCAAGAGGTGGTTGCAGTGAAGCAACTATAATATTGATAGTACACTGTATTGATAAGCATGGCCTCCTTCTCCCCTCCGTTCACAAGTACCCCCTCACCGGCAAAGAAAGTACAGCTGGGGGTGACCGAACGGCGCCATCTTGCCTGACTGCAATATTTTGCCGCGAAGCGCGGCCACTGCATGTAATCCCCTGGTATACGTGCGTCACACACAAGGAACGGTGCGCGAGCGTCAACCAGCGAAATGTTTGCATCCCGCCCATGGGACGTCGTTGCTAGGTAAAAGGGCGCCCTCTTTTGTTGGCGCACAGAGCCCATAGCCATCCTTTCCTCACTATACGCAACCAACAGAGAGGCAAATATGCCAAACTGGTGCCTTTCTCTTCTGAGTCACTGTCAAATTTCCAGAGTTTACCCTGATTTTTTGCGTTTTTATGAGAACTCCCCGAGTTTTCCCTGACTGGAAATATTGAAATTCATTTTCAAGGTTTTCCCTGATTTCCTGAGTGGCTGGGAACCCTGTTCTATGTCTATGAAAATTACCACTAAATCATGGACAAACAAGGGTTTTTTTTTAATTTTTAATTTCATTCTTATCTGTAAGGTTACCTTCTTGTTGATCAAGGACAAAACTTCAACTACAGACATAAAAAAACATATATGAACAATTCTTTCTATAACAATACAAGCAGTAACAGCGGGCCTCCAGCAAACTTTTTACCCTTGAAAACTTACAACAATAAGTACGGGAGACCGCCCATAGGCATTGTTACGAAATTCCCCCATGCAAACCAGTTTGCCTGAAATGCACAAATGATTGAGCACACTTTGTTAGCAGTTTTGACAAAGCGAAACCAGTTTCTATATAATCCCGTCATCCAAACAACCTGTTGATCCGTCCAAACATGATCTACTTGAAGAAATTCAAAATTTGTCTACCAGGAAGGGGTCCTTTGCTTTGTTCAGACATTGCACACGAGCATTTTGTTGCGAAATAGTTGGTATGGGTAAAAAGTCCCTATATCACATGCAATAACAAAAATCCCCTCACAACAAATGATTTCCTTAGTACACTGTAGCAAGGGCCTAATTCCAAAAAATGGATGTCTCGTAGTTTTCATACAAGTTCTCTACCACCAGGAAGGGGTCCTTTGCTTGTCCAGACATATTGCACACGAGCAGTTTGTTGCGAAATAATTGGTATGGGAAAAAAGTCCCTATATCACATGCAATAACAAAAAATCCCCTCACAACAAATGATTTCCTTAGTACACTGTAGCAAGGGCCTAATTCCAAAAAAGGATGTCTCGATCGTAGTTTTCATACATTTCTGAGGAATGGACATTTGCACAAACTACAATCCCGGTCAAATCTCGCTGGGCCACCCTCCTCCGGCCCCCGGTCAATGTTGTCTCTTATTGCGTGGTCTGTGGTCCAGCTGGAGATAACAACTATGACTGGGTGAGAGGGGGAGTTGGGGGACCAGGGCAGGGTATGGTTGTTGTCGATTATTTGTCGTGTGTCCCAACCATTTTGGCTTGGATTCTAGGTTCCAGTGTATACATCACGTCATGGACCTATTAAGTTCTCACACATGGGAAAAACCCGCAATTTTCAAATGCAAATACACACTTTCAAAAGAAATGGCGACCAAACCTTTGTGCCAGTTTCACAAGGCAAGCGTAAATTCTCACTAACAGGAACTTGTCATTGTTAGGACTTAGCGAAGCTGTTTGATTGAATGAGGGTGATGTAAGCGACAAGTTTAGTAACTTACCAACACGTTTTAGGGACTTTCCTTCCCATATTTGCATACAATGTAAAATGTAGGGTGTTTAATGTGTGGTTGCTATTGTGTACTCTACTTGGAAATGCAATAAGGTCAAAAAAATTTGTTTACAGTAATCTGATCTACCGCGATATTTTGCGGCCAAATTGCCGACCTCCAACCTAATGCCACATTTACCCCCAAATTTAAAATAAAGTATATTTTGAAAATAAGTAATAATAATAATAATGGTGTCTTGCATAGTGCTCATGTCCGTCACGAAGTGACACTCCTGGCGTTCTTATTACTACCCTGGCTATGGCACGGCTGCCATTACGGTGCTCAAGCATTGAATAAATTTCTTCCTACCCAGGGACCCATTTACTGCACCTTGGTGGAGAGAGGCAATCGTAGTAAAGCGCCTTGCCCGAGCGCACAAGCACTATGTTCCCCGTCAGGATTCGAACCCATGTACCACAGCACAGGAGTAGAACACCGTTACCACTGGACCACAGCACCCCACAAGTCTTCCCTATTCAATTTTTGTGTGTTATTATTAAGGAAATAAATATGTGCTTCCGTTTTAAAAGACCGGCATTGGGAATAGATGCTGATCATGGCCTGAGACGAAGGCAAGGGACATTATCAGCAACCAGGCCCAACGCCGTGCCGGTCTGAAACGAACTTGTTTAACACTAAACTTGGCCAAGTCTGGGGCGCGCTAGCGCTCGGTCTGTGCTGGCCTATAGTAAATCCACTCACAGCGCATTACATATCACATCCTTACAGTACGTAACGCGCCCTCATGCATCAAAAACGGACCATCATGTTAAAAACGTACATGTACACGTTATTTTTAAGTGATGCATACATGTTATTATTAAGTGATGCAGCAACCCAGACTTGGTAAATCTGCCAAGCGTATACGCACTGGTTTGTTCCACGTTTGTACCCAGTCTATGGAAATTAATTTTCGCTGTGATTGGATTCTACCGATTTTGGTAGAAGCCAATCATATCAAAGTATTTCAGGTTATGAGCGTTTTTATTCTTAAAACGCGCAGGTTGTTTTGATATTATTCCTAACACGCACTTAGCCTTGTTGCCTTGTCTGCATGTATTCCCGCAGCCAAAGTTTTGCTGAGAACGCACACGCATCCCATGGTGAGGAGTAGAAACAGATACACGCACGCGTACGTTCGAATGCTTTGAAACGGCGCTGGGTACGCACAACACGTGGCGCTATCAATGGATCTCAACATCTTTTACAGGTTAACACCAATAAAAAATTCCCTTTTGTTTTGAATAATATTTGAATGTCATGTTCTTTATAAATTCAATCCAAGAGCAGCTGATCTTAGCATTATCATCCAAATATAATATGTTTGAAACTACAGATTAAGATTACTCCACCGCAGACCACACGTGCCTTAAGGGAATTGGGCAATTCCTTAAGAAACAAGTACAATGCACCATACATGTATTTTGCATAAGAAAATGTTTCAAAAGGTACATTCAACTATTTTTCCAAGCTTTATATTCATACATGTAGATGATAGAATGCTGATTTTCCTCCTTTTTTTGTCAAAGTTAAAAAATTCAGTATTTCCAAATCATGCGTGAAGTTGTGTTTTACTTCCTGCTGGTGGTTGTGAAATCGCTAACGTCAGAAAAATGACATCATCATGACCTATATGTGGAATCATTATATACGGTAACTGATATACAGATCCTTGTCATTTGATTGGTGGAACTCACATCACATGACATTTGTTATTGCTCCCATTCACGCCAGGGCTCAAAAAGGCCCATTAGCCCATGAGGAATGGGAAATACTATTGAACAGTTACGATAATTCTTGTTCCATGACGCAGTATTTGAATGCAAATGCATGCTGGTGTGCATGTCCAACATTGCGCGCAGTGCATATTGTTCCAAAAAGCCAGCGCTACAGAGTTGGGTTCAAACTTTTTCGTGAAGGGGTGGTTTGGAGGGCAGAACTACATTTTCCACCAATTTTGTATTGAAATAAAAATTCAAATATATCAAATGACAAGGATCTATATGTCAGTTATTTCAAACAAATATCAAGTGGCTTTACATAGTGGAATGGGAGGAATATTATCGTTCAGTAAAATCTGGACCTTTCCAATTCACTCGGCTTCACCTCGTGAATGGAGAAGTCAAGATTTTACCTTGCGATAATATTCTTCCCATATCACTCTGAGAAACTCAATATTTGCATATCATCCACCCCAGACGCAATAGAAGTTCTACAAAGTACACTGTAGGTTCTTGTACGCTGAACAAAATTTATGCAGTGTAGGCATAATGGGTGTGTTCTGAAGTTTATATACATTGTATGGTGTACCAGTACGTGCTTATTTATTCTGGGTATGCATTGTCCTCAGTACAATGCACCTTGTTTACACCTTGTTACGGCCATGACTGGGCAGTTCGGGGACACTATACCGTACCCATATTTGGAGCAAAAACCAATGCATGACGGAGACCGTAAGCTAAAGTTTGGATGACTAAACAGGCCAGAAATCCGGGTTTGAGAAACAGCATGACGAGAAAAACGGGTTAGACATGGTATGGGCAGTGACTGCTCTATGTTCCGACACCCCTATGTTCCGACAGCCTAGATTGTGTTACTCCCGGTTAGGGTTAGGGTTAGGGTTAGGGTTAGGAATATGTGCAGTCGGAACATAGGGGTGTCGGAACATAGAGGTGTAACCGTATGGGCGAGGGAGGGTTGCAAAGTTGGAAACTTTAAAGCAAGTTCTAGTCAGGGCCGGATTAAGAATTCATTGGCCCTAAGCAGTTTAACACCCTATACTCCGTGGACAAGTACCCTTTCAAAGGCCAAAGAGGGAGAGTTGGGGGAGACCATGGACATGCATGGACATGCATTCGAACAAGGATTCTGTCGTGCCAACTCAGTTCTCAAACCTAAGGGTTCTAAATGCCATTAAAGGCATGTATATGTAGATCATTCGCATTTATCCCAAAACTAACCTACCAAATTATTATCAAAAAGCTTTACTTGGATTAAAGAT